CAGACAGAGACAGAGACAGAGACACAGACACACACACACACAGACACACAGACACACACACACACACACACAGACACACAGACACACAGACACACACACACACACACACACACACACACACACACGTACACGTACACGTACACGTACACGTACACGTACACGTACACGTACACGTACACATACACATATACATATACATATACATATACATATACATATACATATACATATACACACACACACACACACACATGCGTGTGTGTGTGTGTGTGTTTAAAAACAAATGGGCGGTGTCCCTCGAAAGCAAAAACAAAACGGTGCCCTCAGAAACACGCAAACACAGAAAACCGCAAAGACAACAACAAACACGCACAGACAGACAGCCGGACGGACGGACAGACGGGCAGGACAGGACAGGACAGGACAGGACAGGACAGGACAGGACAGGACAGGACAGGACAAGCACAGGACAGGCACAGACAAGGCAAAGACAAGACACAGACAAAATACATTGACACACTGACAGACTGATAGAGACAGAGACAGAGACAGACACAAACGCGGCGCCGCTCGCCAGTTTGGACGGCTCGGCTCCCGGCCTTTGCCCTTAGACGGGCGCCGCCTCAGAAAATGCAAACGGGAAGGCCATGGCCTGTTGATCTCAGATCCCAGTTACCTGCAGTGTCCAATACCTCTTAAACATGAGGTCATGGCCCCATCTGAGGGTATCGGAGGCTGCAGGTAGAGGTGACCTCCACGGTTGCCAAGGAACCCCAAAAGGCTTCTTTCACTGGAAATGGTCATCCAGGAGCCTCCTAGTCAGGTTCCATCTTGCAGAGAGAGAACAGTTTGCCTGTTGACCGCTTGCTTGGGGGGGAAGTCAAGGGACCTCCTCAACGAGCAAAACCATCTTTCAGGGTACCCCTAGGAATGGTCCAAACCAGGAGCCCTCGGTCAGGCTCCATCTGGGGCCCCCGGCTCTGTCCAGTTGGGCTGCCCTCCCTGCAGCACGCAGCCTCGGAGTGGACAACAGGATCCTTTGGGTCTGTCAGACAACGTCCCGGACCCAAGGGGTCGAAGGGCGTTCCGAGCTGTCACCAACCAACAAAGAGACATATCCTTTTGAGTAAACTTAATTAGATCGGTCTCTCATCTCTCTTTCCATCACTTGGAGATGTGATTCAGCTCCTGCATCAAAATTGGCCTTGGGGGATTCAATAAGATATTTGGAACATGGCCTGAAGGTATGTGCAAAACCAAAAAAGACAGGACCCCTTGTTGCCTTGTTGTCTTGGTTTCACAGCTACGAAAGACATTCCAAACGTTACAGGTTTGGCCATCCCTATATCCTCACCCGAAGCCACTCATCCCCTTCGCGCCAGGGACGCCCAGTTCTTGAACCCTGGAAACGTGTCGAATGATCCATGCCCAGGGCATGAATGTCAACAGACTCCAGCTGGCTGGATATTTGGGTGTTTTTGGGTTGGTACCCCTTGATTTGTGAGTTGAGGGAAACGGAAGGAAAACCGAAGCCATGTTGGGTCCAAATCCCAAAAAATGCGACGAGCCAACGGTCGATTCCACCATGCAATCCCAACGTTCAACCATCAGAACCAGTCGCACCTGCCTGTTTCCAACCAGATGATCAACTATTGAACTTCAACCAACAAACCATGCGTCATGCGTTTTTGTAAACCGACTGCCTTGCCCTTCTCTTTGGGGATTGGCTCAGCCAAACTTCAGCCAAACTTCAGCCAACTCCCCTATGCTCACTAGGCAAAACTCATGGTCAGCCGTGATACTGAGCTTCTAAAGTAACGCCGGGCTGAACATGTGGATATATGATTTCTATATATATATATGTATCCATATCCATATATATATATATACAGTCACGTATGGGTGTCTGCTTTTAGGGATGGTTTAGGGAAACCAACAACAAAACTGCCCCAGAAAGGGCTCCAACTCCTATGTTGACACACACACCCATATCCTTGATATACATGTATATATATATATATGATACACAAACACAGAAATCTACGCGGAAGCGACAAAGGCGGCGCTTCTTTTTCTTCGGCGCCTCGGGGCTTTCTCCCCCTCCGCCCTTCCCGCCCTTCTCGCCCGGTTCGGGGCGTCCGGGCGCTGCACGGCGGGGTCGATCCAGGCCTTGGGCTTCTCCTTCCGCAGATCCACCAGCAGCCCCGCGGCCACCTGCCGTTGCTCGCCGCTTCTCGAGCGAGAGCCGAACCTCTCACGAGAAAAACGAGAAAAACCACCCGAAGCGGGGCTCGAGGTTGGGAGGTTGGGAGATTCCGATTGTGCGAAAAGGGGCATCTCGGCTTCTCGGCTTGGAATTGGTGTGGAGTGTGGAGTGGTGCTGGTGGTTTTGGATTGGCTTGGATTGGAGTGGATTGGGTCCTTCTTTCTCTCAGTGGTTGGGATTGGATTGGGTCGTTCTAAAATCGGTGCCCCTGGAAATTGCAGGTGTGTGTTGTTGGACCCTTTTGCTTACCAAAGGGGGTCCGCCCAGTTGGGTGTGAATTTTGAGGTGCCCGAAATGGTAGACATGGGATCTATGTCCAACTTTCAAGTACCCAAAATGGCATGGTGGAGAACATGGGGCAAGTCTTTCGAAGCAAACCCCACGGTTTTTGTTGAACCGACAACCGGCCTCAGGCCGGCTTTCTTCCTGTTTTCCTTTCTACCAGCCGAGGCAAAGGGAAAGTGCCATGCCCGCTTTCGCGGCTCGGCCCTCGGCCTTGTTCCCATCAGGAGAGCTGGCCATGGCGGAGAGAGTCTCTGAGAGGGCGCCGTCCTCGATGCCTGACGAGCAACGGGAAGTCACACTTGGAAATCCTTGCGTGCCATCGTTTTGTTTCTATACATGGGCAACATACGATTCAGCTCTCCAAACAGAAACATGGCTTCGAGTATACCAGTATAATGGCACAGTTTCGGTGAGACGATGACGATTAAGGCATTCGGTTGAACACAATAAACATGAAGATGCGTGAACGGCAAGGAGCAAGCAACTCTTGTGCAGAATTGGGGGAGCCCTACAAATGCTTGTCTTGCTGATGTTCTTCCCTTCAACCCTCAAACAAGGGCTCCCAAACTTGTGCACCCATGGCTGAGGCCATGTAAGCCAGAATGAAACCAAGGCAATTGAAGGTCGGGAGGGGTCATCTCAAACCAGAGGCAACCGATCTTGTACCGTTTGGTTTTTCTCTTGTACCGATATTGTACCATCAGAGGCTACAGCTGTAGGGTACATTCTCTTCATACTGTTGTTTTGTTGGGTTTTTTTTGTGACGACCGAGTCACCGGGGAAGCCCCGTTCTCAAGCCGCTTGCATCCAGGTCCGGGCCTGTGCACACCGCCCAGGGCTTCGCCAGGAAGGGCAGGGCGCCCGAGATGCCCAGGGCGCCCCGCAGGAGCCCGTCCACCTGGCCGGTTTCACCGCCCAAATTGCTTCGGGTCCGGCCGAGCTGAGCTGAGTTTGCGCGGGCACGGCCACATGGTGGCAACCCGTGGTTGAGGGGCTGAATGGTCTCACGCTGGCTTCACACCGAAAAATCATATCCCACCACCAACCCAAGCCGATCACGGCTTGCCTGACATGGAATTGAGCAACCGGAGTGACTTATCTACCCTATCCACTCATTTGGTTGTCTGACAGGGGGTCCAAGACAAGTGCCCTCTTTCTCGGGCTGGGTTTCCATGAGCGGGAGGGGCACCTCAAGGTTGTGCTCCAGAGTTTTCCGAGCCGGAACAAACGAAAAGGGCCCCTGTTTGGGGGTCCTTCGCTTGGAGGCCCCGGAAAGTGTTAAAGGGCTGGCTTTTTTGCTCTGGGGTTTCTTTGAAGGCAACACGCTGCTGCACAAGCCGGGGCCAACTGGAAAAATGAACTATTACAACCTGTTGTGACACGTCAGCCGGTGAAGTGCTGTCCCGCCTTCTCCAGCTGTCCTTGTTGCACGGCAGTTCGGAACCTCAAAGTCAAGGCGGGCGGAGTCGTTCAGAACGCCCCAAGACTTCAGAGGGTGTGTTGTGCTGTTTCGGGGACCCCAAAACGGAGGTGTTCCTTTTGGTTTGCCTTTGCTGAGCCTCAAGGCGAACCAATGGACGGCTTGCGGCATCCGGTCACACAAGTGCCTTCGCGGGCCTTTCGGGAGTTCCTCCCAAAGCTCAGATCCATCAGCTTAAAAACAAATACGCCGCTCAAATCGCCCTGGCGGTCTTGCTTCTCGATTCCGGGATCCAGGCAGCATAGAGTACGTGCGCTTGTCGGGCGAGACCTGTCGGCAACAAGAAACTGTCGCCGTACCCAACCGACCCTAGGGCTTGAAGCAATCCATTCCTCCGAATCCCTCCGGCTGAAGCTCGGCTGGCCTTGCGCTCCATCATCTCTTCCAGGGTGTTGAGGCCCCGCTGCAGCTGTTTGCTGAAGCAGCAGGCCTGGACCTGGACTCACCGAACTTGACCCGTCCAGCGCTCCAGTGGTGAAAGTCCATATTTGGGTGTGTCTCAAAACAGGTAGTCTCCGTTTGGCTTCTCCCCCCCAAAAAAAAAACAAGGGCAGTCAAAAAGCAAAGTGAGCCACCCATACAACGAACTAGGTGCATCTTGGGTATAGTCTGAGCAAGTGCCCTCACAAAAGCCCAAGGCTCCAGGCCAAGTTGGCATAGACGTGGGAGTTGGGGCTCAGGTGGTACTTCGCCGACAGCTGCTTCACCTCAAGCGTATCCCCAAATTCCCAAGCCATCAAAAGAAAACTATAAAACATAGCTGCTGGAGGTGGTCGTCACAACGGCACCACACAAATCATTTGCCAACTGACACAAAGGCTGTTACTGTTCCCATCACAAGCCGTCTTAAAGGACCTTTGGGATGGTTTTCAAAGAGACCAGACTTACCCAGTAATTGCAGGGCTCCAACTGGTCTTGACACAGGCCCTGGTTGCTGAGAGATGGGTGGGCCCCCATGTCCTCCAGCTCACCATGTAGGTGTGTCGTTCTCAAGGTTGCCCCTAAAATGGCTGGTGTTCCTCTTGGTTTCCCTTGAAAACCACTAAAAAAGGAGTACCGTCATAAGATGACACTGCCATATTTTTACTATCCAGCTTTTGTCCAGTTGCTCACATAGAAGTCGAAACAGGAATCCAAATCGTTGGATCCCTCAAGCCGGATGCCCTCGAAGCGTGAGAAAGATCTGTCCCGGAGAAAGGCGTTCAACGAAAAGCCAAGTCTTCCTTGGGGTCAGTGGCCGATTTCCCCAAAGCAAAGCTTTGGATTGAAAAAGGGTCTGTCTTCTTTGAGGGTGAAATTGTTGTTTGTTTTTGTTTTGAAGGGGGGGATGGTTTCAATCGAAGACAACAGGAAACTGCCAATTTGAACGACCCCCGAAAAAAGTCGACACCCGCATAAATTCACGTTGGTCTCACCGGGGAAAGTTGTGAGTCCAGATTTTTGAGGCACTTAGTCTTGTGACCCCTAGAAGGCACCCCCATATAAGTCTACCTCAAATGGAACCCATCCACTCATTTGCTCAGGAACCCGGCGAGCTCGAAGGCATGGTCCACACGACGGGCACGGCTCATGAGCTTCACCTAACCACGACTGGACCCGAAAAACAATCCCATGGGCAAAAGCCAGCCATGTTTGAACTGGCTTCAATAGCTTTGTGGACTATGTTTCGCTTTGGGCAGAGGAAAAGTTGAAGGGACGCAGAAAAAGCACGAAAAAATCTGCTTCAGAAGCCCGGCGGAAGGAAAAAACCCCATAAACGCTTCGCCGCTCTTCTGGCTCCTTTTGCTCAAGTGCAACACAACGCGGGCCTCCCCTCGCACCTCTCAGATAGACTCTGCATCTATATGACCACGTAAGGTAGTCTTTGGTTGCTGTTGAAATGAGCGCAAAAGGGAAGCATCCGCTTGACTTTTTTTCAAACCCACCTATTCACTAGGCTACACGTCGAGCGCTGATAGCTCAGCTTTACCTGAGCTCGCTGCCAGAACAGACAGGGTGAAGTTGCTTGGCTTCACGCTGGCTTCCTGACGCCAACTCCAGCCGCAGCATGAAACAAAATGGCTGTGGGTCAAAAAACCGGCACCAAAATGGAACCCTGGTAAGTGGAAACATGGACCAAAACCTGTGTAACCCCTCCTGTTTAAATTTGAGCCATACCCAAATAGCGACGCGCTTGCGGCCTTGAAAAAAGGAATGAGATGCCGCTGGCATGTCCCGAATACTCGCGTGTGCAGCACAGTTGCTCGTCGCGCAGGTTCGAACGGCGCGATTCTGTGTGCTTCAATCGTTGGCAAGATCCCATGGTCGATGCCAGTATCGTTTGGAGCAAAAAAGTGGCCGGTCCCTCTGAAAGGAGAGGGTGCCCTCAAGCTCTGAACGACCGGCCTCCATCTCGCTTAGCACTCGCAGGCCCTCATCCACCAAGCTGCTCTGGGCGCAGCCGTCCAGCAGGGAGTTGTACCTCGCTCTCAACCGGACGCCAGGCGCTCCGACTGGGCTCAGTTTCGGCTCGGGGTCACCAGTCTCCATCTAGCGCAGGTCAAAGTTCAGGCTTCTCTAGACGTCTCCCACGCATCCCCCCTCAACCCCCTCGTATTGAGTCCGCTGAGGGCTGTCTTTTTGGGACGGCCGCTTCCAAATGAAGGCTCTTGTCACCCCTCACGAGGCAAATTCTTGAGAAACTCAACCGTTCCCGTGGCTCAGTGATTCTGTAGTGCCAATGGCCCCTGCTTTCGTCATTCTTTGGCAAACCACGAAGGCAGGGATCGATCGGTCACCAGTCATTCCGACTTGAGTGGCTACACATCTGAATCAAGCAGTTTCTAGGGATATCTCAACCATCCCAAAAAGGACACCCTGGAGTAACCGCCAATTGGGATTGGCAATTCTTGCTTGGCCTTCCGCAAAGTAGTGGGATCCATCAAACACTTGGGCCCTCAGCCGAAGGGGCCCTGACCTTCAGACCTTCGCCTTCCGGGAAGGAGAAGCAAACAGCCGAATGGCGGTTCGCTATCTCAGATCTTTTGCTTCTTGTACAAAAAATGCTTGGGGAGCCACCTAAAATCCCACCTGATTAATTGGGATCTGTCTTGATTCTCGTGCTTTGCACTATAAGGGGGCCTGCTTCAGGTCGGCGCAGCCTAGGATCGATCCCTCGTTTTTCGCGGGGCTGGAAACGGGCGAACCAGCGACCAGCGAATCCGCGGTCACATGATCTCGTCGGGGACGAGGCCAGCCTCCCGTTACGGAAAAATGTGGGTTGTCTCAACATAGGAAAAAACCTCCAAAATGGTTCTCCTTTGTTTCAGTTTAAAACAAGCCCAAGAAGCGGACCCTCAAAAAAAATTACGAGCCACCCATGTGGGTAGCCACACATTGGTTCCAACAATCACAAAAGTTCTGTGTCCCCTAGTTTGTGTGGTGATTCTTTCCTGAGCGCTTGCAAGCCCCTCTTAAACTTGATAATAGGCCTACTGGATGTTTGGACCGAACCTGACGCGCAAGCTGAACCAAGGACGAAAACCTGCTGTCCCCTGGTGGCTTAATTTTGACCCATATACCCATATCCTCCAACGACCAAAGTGCGGGTCTTGCCTCCTCCCGCATCTCCTTGACCAGCTTGAAGGCCGCAGTGAGGTCGCCTCGGCGACACGGAGCTGGGAGCCCACCCGGGTCACCTGCGTGATTTCCAAAATCAGCAGCCACTTCACAGATTGAAGCACTTCCCCACATCCCAGCTACCGTACTGGACTCTAAGGCAGCCGCCAGTTTGGCAGTGGCCCTTGAGCATGGTGCTGTACGTGATGATATTGGGCTTGATGTTGGCCTCACCAAAAAAAAGCATGCATAATCTGCCGTCACGGCAGTGCGCAGTTGATCGCAGTCGCATGAAGGGCTGTGGCCTTCTTCATGTCCTCGATGATTGCTGGAACCCCATCCATGCCTCGGACATCCGAACCGTCTGATTCGAACTCTGAAACCTAATCGGAAGGCTTGTCTTGAAAGTGCCAGCGGCCAGGATCCGCACGGCAGCATCGAGCACAGCAGTCCAGGAGGGTATTGTAAGTGACGATGGAGAGATCAATGTTGCGCTTCTGCATCTCCTTAGCGCAAAAAACAAAACAAAAAACACAGGACCTCGACTGCTGAACGCGTATGTCAACCAGCCCGTCCTCATAAACCGCCCAGACTTTGGCTGCGTTCTTCTCGCGCGTGAAGCCCTGCAGCAGAGCACCAGAGTGCACAATCACAGCCCACGAAGGAAGCCCGGATTCACACATGTGGCAAACATAGCGAGTACACTCCAGTGAAGGATAGACATACTCACTCAAAATGAGCCATTAATCGACCATGGTTGACGCAACATGGCCCTTGAAAGGGCCCTGGACCCTCCCAACATGGAAATGAAGCTTTCGGAAGACTATGTTTCTCTTCGGAACGCCTCTGCAGTTTTAGGTGGGTAAAAAGGCCCCTGCAACTTTGACCGCCGCCCTTTGACCTGCTTTGCAAAAGCGCCTTCAGCACCGAGCAGTAGATCACCGCATTGAGGATGCCTTTGCAATGCGGATCCTGGCCAGGTCGCACATGATGATTTGAAGAAAACATACTCACACCCACCCACCCACCCACCCACCCACCCAATACCCGACCAGAAAGACCGTTGCTCATTTGTCTTCTAGGGCATTACACGATGAAAACTCGGGTTTGCGAGCCCTGTCTCACTCGCGGGGATGTTTCCCACAGGCAGTGGAGCCGCATGTGTTCTTGGACTGAATGGAGAATCCTGGACTGATTAGGACAAAACCTGGAAAGGGAAACGGCATGTGTGGGCGGGCAGCAAACCAAAGCTGGCCTTTGGAAGCTTGACGTCAGGCAACAGATTCCGGCGCGGTCGCTGGTTGAATCAATGCCAATCTAGCAGTTGAGTTTCTCCCAGGACAAGCCCCATGGTGAATCCTAGTTTCTTGACCTTGCCTTTAAACACCATGCAGGGGGTGTCCCAACCATCCATGGCCAAAACAAATACACCATCCCCAACAAATGCTTGCGTTTGATGCTTCTATTCTTTGGGAGGTCCCCCAAACTGGTCGGTGTCCCAAACTGGTTTCCCAAGCCACCGATTTATTGACCCCTGGCCCACACCCATCTCCTCGCCAAGCTCCTGGATCAGGTGCCAGGCTCCATCTGGGTCCCCGTTGGACACCACCGCCTTCAGACGAACTGGAACGGGAACGGAACGGAGAACTCGCAACGAGGTCAACGAAAATTGGTTGCTTACCGCAAACCCGAGGGTTGTCCAGGTAAAGGAGAGGGGCTAGAAGCTTCTTTGTGTTCGGGTTCATGTACTTCTCTTTTGGAAGGAGAGTCCTGAAGATAGAAAATAAACCTCGATTGCTTGATGTGCGAATCGTTGCCTGAAGCAACAAACATGCCGGTAATGGACCAAACACACCAAAAAAGAGTTGGGTGATCGAAGAAACGTGTTGTGCCCTCGGCTGGCATCAAGATCCTAAACATTTGCCTCGATCATGCAGCCAACAGTGATGCTGGTGGGCTTGATGTGACCTGGCAGGACTGGCGATTTGAGCTTGGAATGGGATGCCTTCTCAAAAATGTGCTCTGCTTTGCCGGCCGCGGGAAGAAATGGGAGGGGGGTGTCTTTAAGTGGGGGCAACCTTTTCAAAAGTGGTGGCTTCCCTTTGGCGTCCCTTTCCAAAAATCCCAAAACGGGACCATCAAACATACCCTCAAACGCACCCAAATCCCATCTGGCGGCTTTTCCACATGGCGGCGCCGCGGCTTCGCATCTCTTTCCAGCACCGCCACACCTGGGGCGCTGCGTTGGGAAGAAGCAGCCGTCTGGACATGTGACTCCGCACGCCCAAAGAAACCTTTTGCCAACCTCCAGGGGAACTTTCGGAACGCCCAAAGGTTGCATGCCTGCCAACCTCCCCCATCGTGAGGAGAGGTAGGGGAAACGGTGGGGAAGGCAACTTCCAGTGAGCAAGCAAGAAGTGTCACCGTAGCAGCCACAGCATGAGACACCACGTTACATCGAGGACTGCGCGGAATTCATGTCTTTGGCGTGGCCGTAGGCCTGCCAAGAGTTGTGTCAATGTGCAAGCCTCAGGGCCGACTCGGCGTGACAAACCAGGGCCTTGATGAGACTGCCAAAGGTGTGCGATCCGTTGACCTTGATGTCGCCCGACATCAGCTGCCTGCGCTATTTCCCTCCCCCAAGCCAGGTAGTGTGACCCGGATTCAAACAACAGCGTCCTATTACTAGGGGGTGTTGACTCCATGAACCCCCCACCTAAAAGGGAGACCCCCTATTGATCAACCAGAGATTGATGTTATGCGGGGTTCCCACTAAATCCTCACCATGCCATGTCGGTCGCAAGCCGGTGGATAGCGAGTGACCTGAGCTTGGTGTTCAGCAGGTCGGGCTTGCCGATGCGAACACAGGCCTCCACCTGAAGCAAACCGGACACACGACAGCGGGTCTTCAGATCGTTGAATCTCAAGAACCAGGAATTTGTGGGGCCGCAAGTGCCCACGTTGACATGTCAAAAGCTGTCAACCACATGTGGGTGTCTTAAAATAGGGAAAAATGGCGGTCCCCAAAGAGGGCACCCTCAAAAAAAGACGAGCCACCCATGTGGCCTTTTGGGGGGCGGGGAGAAAAACCCCGGAGTCCAAAGCGCCGAGGAAACTGGGTGTTTCTTTACGCCAAGCGGCCACTGATGAGAGCAGAACCTCATCCAGCTGCTCCTCCATGCTGTTGATCAAGCTCATCCTTAAGCAATGAGTCACCTCCCCCCCCCTCCCACACACACACCAAAGAAGACATCGACATGGACCCAGGTCTTTTGCACCAAACACCCCAAGTGGCTTGAAAGTTCTGGGCTTGAAGTGACACCTATACTGCCCTTCAAAAGGTGGTTTAAAGAACATCCTCCGAAATGATGAGAATCTGGTTGGCCTTTGCCTGAGTGTACCCTTTTTAATAGAGTTGGCTCAAGAGAAACCCAAGGCCAATCACCTCCTTTCTTGGGTTCCCTTTACAGACCCAAATCCATCTCCCCCAAACGTCTCACAAGCCGAAAGCCAACTGCCTGCTGAGGCTTTAGCGTCTGATTGATGTCCGGCTCTGGAGAGGAGCTGTTCAGATTCTTCAGCAGAATGGAACCTTGGACGGGCCCCCTACGGACCCGGGTCTGTCCTTTCTTTCATTTGAGGCTACTCGCTTTCTTTTCGGTCTGTTTTTGAGGGAAACCAAAGGACAACCCCCGCTTTGGAGGTGCACCAAAAAAGGACACACCGACCCGGCGTGGCATCTTGAAAGGGCATATCCACTTTTCGAGGGCAGCAAACGCGCAAAAGGGAGCCAGGATGGAGTGAAGTGCTCCCTGGCTCTTTGCTTCTCCAAGCACCAAGTCAAAAAGCGGATGCTAAGGCCGTAACAGGTCACTTGGTTCGGCTTCACGCCAACTGCTTGCATCTCTCGAATGACGGTCCACACCTGCAAAGGTGCGTTGCAAAGCTGACCTTACGGGTTCTGTAAGAATCAAGGCAAACTTTACTGAGATGATCTTTGCATCAGCACGACAGAAGCTCTGTGGATTTTGTGGACAACTCTGCAGGCACAGAGAGTCTTGCCGTGGCTATCTCCACTGAACTCTGATTCGCCCGTTTTCTCACTGCGAGAGCCGTTTCTGCGTCCTGAAGTTTCTTCACCTCGAAGGACCTTCTTTGCTCTTGTGTCACAGCTCCTCGTACACCGGCAAAGCTGCCGTCCACCGGTCATCGGCCGGCGCCGGCGCCGGCGCCGAGTCCGCGGAGTCCGCGGAGTCCGCGGAGTCCGCGGCGTCCGCGGCGTCCGCGGCCCCGACCTGCGCCAAGCTGCTGCCAACCTGCGCCAGGCCGCCGAGACCCGCGAGGCTAGGCGCTTCGGCATCGGGAGGCTGCCAGAAGGGCGGCGCGTCCGGGGAGTTGATGTCTTCCTGGACCTTCTTGGCCTTCCTTTGGGACTTCTTCAGCTTCTCCGTATATCTATCCATAAGCTTGGAGTAGCAGGACATCATGTCCCCTATTGCCACAGCAGCCTCTAAAGCATCCTCATCCTCCGAATCGTGCAAGTAGGCAAGCCCGCCAATGTTCTCAAGCCTGGCTCGCAGTGATCGGAGGCCTGAGCGTATGATGTCTTCCGCATCTCCAACATGCCGAGCATCCAAGTTAGTCAGCGGCCAATCCTTCGGCCAATCCGGGCCTGACATGCGCGCAAGCATCTCGCGCTGCCTGTCATGCATCTGCATCTGCCGCTCCTGGCAGATTCAAAGCCTCCCTCAGCCCGGGCCGCTCTTGGCACTACCGCTCGCCCTGTGCATGGACACGTTACAAACTATTCCGCACCAAATCATAAAAACAACACCAGTGCCTTCAAGAGACCGGCCCCGCCCACCCAACAATGCCTAGCCGCCAGTCCTGGAACTTGGACATCTCCTCCATGGCCTTGAGTTCTTCAACATGCGGATCCCTAATCTCTTAGTGGGACACGGGGGACATAAGTTTGCGGGCACAAGGATTAGGCTTCTACCGTTCTTTTGTATCATCTTCATTGTAGGTATGATTGTCATGTTCGTTTTGACTACTTCTATGACTTGTTGCTGTTGTGACTGCTCTTGCTGTGTCGCCGTTCCCGTCGCCATCGCCATCGCCGTCGCCGCGGCCGTCGCCCTGCCCGTCGCCGTCGCCGTCGCCGTCGCCGTGGCAGTGGCAGTGGCTGTTGTTGTTGTCGTTGTCGTTGTCGTTGTCGTTGTCGTTGTCGTTGTCGTTGTCGTTGTCGTTGTCGTTGTCGTTGTGGTTGCTGTTGTTGTTGTTGTTGTTGTTGTTGTTGTTGTTGTTGTTGTTGTTGTTGTTGTTGTTGTTGTTGTTGTTGTTGTTGTGTTGTGTTGTGTTGTGTTGCTGTTGCTGTTGCTGTTGCTGTTGCTGTTGTTGCTGTTGCTGTTGCTGTTGCTGTTGCTGTTGCTGTTGCTGTTGCTGTTGCTGTTGCTGTTGCTGCTGCTGTTGCTGTTGCTGTTGCTGTTGCTGTTGCTGTTGCTGTTGCTGTTGCTGTTGCTGTTGTTGTTGTTGTTGTTGTTGTTGCCAGTGGTGTTGCTGCTGTTGTTGTCGTTGTCAATGTCGTTGTCGCGGTCGCGGTCGTGGTCGTGGTCGTGGTCGTTGTCGTTGTCGTTGTCGCTTTTGCTGTCGCTGCCGCTGTCGCTGTCGCTGTCGCTGTCCCGGCGGCGGTGGCGGTGGCTGTGGCTGTGGCTGTGGCTGTGGCTGTGGCTGTGGCTGTGGCGGTTGCTGTTGCTGTTGGTGTTGGTGTTGGTGTTGGTGTTGTTGTTGTTGTGGTTGTGGTTGTGGTTGTGGTTGTGGTTGTCGTTGTCGTTGTCGTTGTCGGTGTCGTTGTCGTTGTCGTTGTCGTTGTCGTTGTTGTCGTTGTTGCTGCTGCTGCTGTTGTTGTTGTTGTTGTTGGTGGTGGTGGTGGTTGTTGGTTGTTGTTGGTTGTTGTTGGTTGTTGTTGGTTGTTGTTGTTGTTGGTGGTGGTGGTGTTGTTGTTGTTGTGGTTGTTGTGGTTGTTGTTGTTGTTGTTGCTGTTGCTGCTGCTCTTGCTGTTGTTGTTGTCGTTGTCGTTGTCGTTGTTGCTGTTGTTGTTCTAGCTCTTGTTCTTGTTCCTGGTGTTTTTGGTGTTGTTGGTGTTGTTGGCGTTGGTGTTGTTGGTGTTCTTGGTGTTGTTGGTGTTGTTGGCGTTGTTGGTGTTGTTGGTGTTCTTGGTGTTGTTGGTGTTGTTGGTGCTGGTGCTGGTATTGGTGTTGTTGCTGTTGCTGTCGCTGCTGCTGTCGCTGTTCTTGTTGTTGGTGGGGGTGGGGGTGGTAGTGGGCGTGGTGGTGGTAGTGGTGGTGTTGGTGTTGGCGTTGGTGTTGGTGTTGGTGTTGTTGCTGTTGCTGTTGCTGTTGCTGTTGCTATTGCTGTTGCTGTTGCTGTTGCCGTTGCTGTTGTTGTTGTTGTTGTTGCTGTTGTTGTTGCTGTTTGTCGTTGTCGTTGTCATTGTCGTTGTCGTTGTCGTTGTCGTTGTCGTTGTCGTTGTTGTTGCCGTTGTCGTTGTCGTTGTCGTTGCCGTTGCCGTTGCCGTTGTCGTTGTCGTTGTCGTTGTCGTTGTCGTTGTGGTTGTGCTTGTGGTTGTGGTTGCGGTTGTGGTTGTGGTTGTGGTTGTGGTTGTGGTTGTGGTTGCGGTTGTTGTGGTTGTGGTTGTGGTTGTGGTAGTGGTTGCGGTTGTGGTAGTGGTTGTGGTTGGGGTTGCGGTTGCGGTTGTGGTTGTGGTTGTTGTTGTTGTCGTTGTTAGTGTTGTTGTTTGTTGTTGTTGCTGCTGCTGTTGTTGTTGCTGTGTTGTTGTTGTTGCTGTTGTTGTTGTGGTTGTCGTGGTTGTTGCGATGGTTGCGGTTGTTGTGGTTGTTGCGGTTGTTGTGGTTGTTGCGGTTCTTGTTCTTGTTCTTGTTGTTGTTGTTGATGATGATGTTGTTGTTTGCTGCTGTTGCTGTTGCTGTTGCTCTTCCTGCTGTTGTTGTTGCTGCTGTTGTTGTTCTTGTTCTTGTTCTTGTTTTTGTCATTGTTGCTGTTGTCGTTGCTGCTGTTGTTGCTGTTGCTGCTGTTGTTGCTGTTGCTGTTGCTGTTGTTGCTGCTGCTGTTGCTGTTGCTAGTGTTGTTGTTGTGGTTGTTGTTGTTGCGGTTGCAGTTGTAGTAGTAATAGTTGTTGTTGTTGGTGGTGTTGGTGTTGGTGTTGGTGTTGGTGTTGGTGTTGGTGTTGGTGTTGGTGCGGGTGTTGGTGTTGGTGTTGGTGTTGGTGTTGTTGTTGTTGTTGCTGCGGTTGCTGGTGTGGTTGTTGTTGTTGGTGCTGGTGGTGCTGCTGGTGCTGCTGATGCTGCTGATGCTGTCGTTGTTGGTGTTGGTGTTGGTGTTGGTGTTCTTGCTCGTGTTGATGTGGTTGATTTTGTGGTTGTGGTTGTGGTTGCGGTTGTTGTTGTTGTCGTTGCGCTGGTCGCGGTTGTGCTTGTGGTTGTGGTTGTTGTTGGTGGTGTTGTTGGTGTTGGTGTTGGTGGTGGTGTAGGTGGTGGTGTGGGTGTGGGTGTTGGTGTTGGTGTTGGCGTGGGTATTGGTGTGGGTGGTGTTGGTGTTGTTGATTTTGGTGGTGGTGGTGTTGCTGTTGGTGTTGGGGTTGGAGTTGGTGTTGGTGTTGGTGTTGGTGTTCGTGTTGGTGCTGGTGTTGGTGGCGCGGGTGTGGGTGTGGGTGTGGGTGTGGGTGTGGTTGTGTGTGTGTGGGTGTGGGTGTGGGTGTGGGTGTGGTCGTGGTCGTGGTCGTGGTGGTGGTGGTGGTGGTTGTTGTTGTTCTTGTTCTTGTTGCTGTTGTTGTTGCTGCTGTTGTTGCTGTTGCTGTTGCTGCTGTTGCGGCTGTTGTTGTTGTGGTTGTGGTTGTGGTTGTTGTTGTTGCGGTGGTGGTGGTGCTGTTGTTATTCTTCTTGTTCTTCTTCTTCTTCTTCTTCTTCTTCTTCTTCTTCTTGTTGTTGTTCTGGTTGTGGTTGCGGTTGTGGTTGTGGTTGTGGTTCGTGGTGGTATTGGTGGTGGTGTTGCTGTTGGTGTTGGCGTTGGTGCGTGTGTGGGCGTTGGTGTGGGTGTTGGTATTGGTGTTGTGGCGTTGGTGTTGTTGCTGTTGGTGTTGGCGTCGGCGTCGGTGTCGGTGTGGGTGTTGGTGTTGGAGTTGGTGTTGGTGTTGGTGTTGGTGGCGTGGGTGTGGGTGTGGGTGTGGGTGTTGGTGCGGGCGTCGGCGCGGTTGTGGGTGTGGGTTTGGGTGTGGGTGTTGGTGCGGGTGGTTGTGGTTGTGGTTGCGGTTGTGGTTGTGGTTGTTGTTGTTGTTGTTCTTGTTCTTGTTGCTGCTGTTGTTGCTGCTGTTGTTGCTGTTGCTGTTGCTGTTGCTGTTGCTGTTGCTGTTGCTTTTGCTGTTGCTGTTCTTGTTGTTGTTGTTGTTGTTGCTGTTGCTGTTGCTGCTGCTGTTTTTGTTGCTGTTGTGGTTGCGGTTGTTGTTGTTGTTGTTGTTGTTGTTGTTGTTGTTGTTGTTGTTGTTGTTGTTGTTGTTGTTGTTGTTGTTGTTGTTGTTGTGGTTGTGGTTGTCGTTGTTGTCGTTGCTGTGATTATTGCGGTCGTCGCGGTCGTCGTCGTCGTCGTCGTCGTCGTCGTCGCTGCTGCTGCTGCTGCTGCTGTTGTGGTTGTTGTGGTTGTTGGTGTTGCTGCTGTTGTTTCTGTTGTTGCTGTTGCTGTTGCTGTTGCTGCTCCCTTTGCTGCTGTTGGCGCTGCCGCTGTTCTTGTTCCTGTTCTTGTTCTCATTCTTATTGGTGTTCTTGTTGTTGTTATCCTTGTGGTTGCGCTGTTGCTGTTGCTGTTGCTGTTGTTGTTGCTGCTGCTGCTGCTGTTGGTGGTGGTGGTGGTGGTGTTGGGGTCGAGGTGGTGTTGGGGTCGGGGTGGTGTTGGCGCCGCTGTGGCTGTTGCGAATGCTGTTGCTGTTGCTGTTGGTGTTGCTGTTGGTGTTGCTGCTGCCGCCACTGCTGCTGCTGCTGCTGCTGCTGCTGCTGGTGCTTGCGCTGTCAATATCATAATCATTGTTGCTACTTATATTACTCCTAGGTAGTTAGTGGTTAGTACTGAATGGTTAGTTAGTAGCTAGTACCAGGTTAGTACTTGGTAGTTAGTAGTCAGTAGTTGTTAACTAGTAGCTAGTTATTAGTAGGTTAGTTATTAGTTAGCAGTTAGTAGTTAGTAGTGGTAGTAGGAGTAGTAGTAGCAGTAGTAGTAGTAGCACTAGTAGCTAGAAGTAGTAGTAGTAGCAGTAGTAGCAGTAGTAGGCGTTGTATTAGTTTTCGTAGTAGTAGTAGTAGTAGTAGTAGTAGTAGTACTACGTAGTAGCAGCAGCAGCAGTAGCAGAAGAAGTTGTAGTAGATAGTTGTCAGCAGCAAGTAGTAAGTAGCAAGTGGTAGTGGTAAGTGGTAAGTGGTGAGTGGTGAGTGGTAAGTAGTAGGTAGTAAGTAATGAGTAGTAAGTAGTAAGTAGTAAGTAGTACGTAGTACGTGGTAAGTGGTAAGTCGTGAGTAGCGCGTAGCAAGTCGTAGTAGTAGTAGCAGTAGTAGTAGTGGTAGTAGTAGTAGTAGTAGCGGTAGTAGTACTAGTAGCAGCAGCGGTAGCAGCAGTAGCAGCAGCAGTGGTAGTAGTACTAGAGGGTAGTAGTAGCTAGTAGCAGTGGTAGTCGTAGCAGTAATACTACAGAGTTAGTAGTAGTAGTAGTAGTAGTCGTAGTAGTCGTAGTAGTCGCAGTAGTAGTAGTCGCAGTAGTAGCAGTAGTAGCAGTAGTAGTGGTAGTACTAGTACTAGAAACAGTAGCAGTAGCAAGTAGCAAGTAGCAAGTAGCAAGTAGCAAGTAGCAAGTAGGAAGTAGTAGGTAGCAGTAGTAGCAGTAGTAAGCAGTAAGCAGTAAGTAGAAAGTAGCAAGTAGCAAGTAGCAAGTAGTAAGTAGTAAGTAGTAAGTAGTAAGTAATAAGTTGTTGTTGTAGTAGTGGTAGTCGTAGTAGTAGTAGTAATAGTAGTAGTAGTAGTAGTAGTAGTAGTAGTAGTAGTAGCAGTGGTAGTAGTAGTAGTAGTAGTAGCAGCAGTAGTAGTAGTTGTTGTTGTTGTAACAGGAGTAGTACTAGTAGTAGTAGTAGTAGTAATAATAGTATGAGTAGCTAGTAGTAGTAACAAAGCACAGATTGTTTGCATGTTTACACATATATTGAAGAGTGTGTACTGGGTGCTTCTTGACCAAAAAACAAAACAAAACACGACACGTTGATTTTTGTACAGGGTGTTTACAACAACCGATGATTGACTTTGATCGATTTTCCGATCTTTACATTTTTAGCGGGGGGGTTCTGATTGATTTTGACCCCAGCCTTGGTCTTGAAGTTCCGACTATCCCTCGCCAGCCGCCTCTTTGCCTTTGACCGCAGCATGGGCAGCGTGGACCCGCAGAAGACCTCCTTCTTCAGCTCATTGCTCCGCGGCTTCGGGAGTGTGACCTCCTGAGTGCTCGTGGCTTGAGTTGGCTTCCCAAAAAGCTGGAAAGAACAGGTTTCCCCATGCTTCGGGCTTTGAACATCAGCTTTTGGGGCCATTGAAATTGAGCGCTCTGGTGTGACGTTTGAAGGGAAGTATAGGGACCCTGAGGAAGCCTGTTGGTAAACTTAAGCCATGAAGGAGTCTAGAGAGGAATCCCCACCAAAGGAACCCCCGGATTGCCAAAATTGTGCCGGAGGTCAGTGATCAGAGTGACAACCCCAGCCGTGTTTCCCCAACTTGGGAATCCCCGCACAAATGAACCTTAGACTCGCCGGCACGGTTACGCTGCGTGTCTGTGGAGCTTCCCTCAAAGCCTGTTCAAGGGAGCTCCGTGCCTTTTGCGCTGGAAACTTTGTGCACAAAATGTACAAGGAGCGCATGCAAAACGTGCGACCGTCGAGCCGGAGATGCAAACATTTTGTGTACTCATGGTCGAAGCGTGCCACTTTCCAGCCGGAGCTCGGACAATGATCAAGATTAGAAGTTGTCAAGCTCAATTGACTGCTTTGCGCACTACTTTCTTTGAAATTGTGATTTTCGAGCCAAAGCCGCAAAAGAACATTTCACTTACTGTGTTCTTATTTCAAAGTTGACTTCTGAGCAGCTGCAAGAGTTCACTATTTTCGAGCTGGAGCTGCAAGAGGTCATACAAACATCGGTGGGTGCACAAATCGTTCTGGTATCAACCATGTTGGCGTTCCTAGGCATCTCCCTCATTGGCTTCAAGCAAGGGGACCAGACGCCCTTTCGGTTTCAACAGGGGAATTGAAAAAAGAGACGCAGCTGTGCTTTTGGTTCAAGGGACCCACCCCCTCAAGCCCTCCTTTGAAAGCGCCCAGAAGGCCTACAACCTCCTATTGCTTCTGGAGTTCGCCCACCCAGTCTTGTTTTGCGCGTGCTGGCGTTCCTTGTTTAACGGCATCACACCCATCCCACCAATTTGCTTGCAACCACCCCTCCCAACTCCAGCCCCTCAGTGAAAAGGGCGCGTATTTCTTGAGGGTACCCGACACACCTCACAAAACGCCTGGCCTTCTCCAGCGAAGTCAAAGCCGCCTGCAGCCGGGGCTTAAAGGCGCGCAGCTTCTCCAGGTAGGGCCCCACCTGGGGATGCAGCGCCACGTCGGTCGCCGCTTCTCGGGCGAGATCGTTGGCCTGAGTCGGGGGATCGTTGGCTCGATGAAAAGGAACCAAAAACGCTTCAAACCTAAAGGGTCTGCTTCCTGGCGATGGCCCGAAACCGCCGAAACGTCTCTGTACCAAAAATGCGAGAAAAGTTCGCCTGGTCTCCTGTGCCGTGCTACACCCCCCCCCCCCCAACGTCCCAGAGACCGCCTTGTTTTCGCCTCCCCCCCCCCCACCCGGACAAGCCAACGCCAACCCAATGCCAATCCCAACCAAGCTCTAGACAAACCAACCAACCCCAAACCGAACCTAAACCTGCACCAGGACCCGGGCCACCACCAGTGACGGGTGTCAACCCATGTGTTCCAGGGCACTCTGGTGGTCTTCATGAGCAGAATGATGATCGTAAGTGAAAAACTCTGGCCAGAGTGTCTTGGCAAACATCCAATCTTGTGTTGAGCATGCTTGAAAGATGTGCCATGGTGTTTGTGTTGCCTTGTGTTACACGATTGAAAAGCGATGAAGAAAACACGTTCTGCTACAGATTCAGAAAATGTGCGACAAGGAAAACCCGGTTCTTATGTTGCTCTTGGTAAAGCTTCCGGCTGCATTCAACAACAAAATACACAGCTTGCAAAGCAAACAACACGCTGAGAAATGTGGAGAAGACATGGAACAAAAAGCATATGCACTCACCCACCCAGAGATACAACAAGCACACCTGGTTGGTCCAGTCAGTTTCCATCGGAGACTTTGGCCAAAACGAGGTTTAGAATCTCTTGCCTCGCAGATGGGTGTCTTTTTTTGAGGGTAACCTTTTTGGTAATTTTAAAGGGAACCAAAAGGAAAACCAGCAGTTTGGGGATGTATCCTCAAACACGGAACAACCAAATGAGTTTGTCAGCAAAACACAGGATCCAAGAAAGGGACTCCCAACCACGAATGGAGGCGGTCTTCTGCCGAGAAAAGGGTCCTGCGATTTTGGGGGGGGGAGTTGCTTGCAGTTGCCCGTTAAGCAGCGCCCAAACCAACAAATGCTTGGTTCTACCAAGCGGGTAATGGAGGTTTACATAGCCCGAAGAATCTCCACAAGGGAGCAGAACCCTCGACTCAGTTGGTCAACAGGGGGTCATCGCCACATGAGGCAATATTTGCCGGCCATGAACCAGGGTGGGAACAAGAAAACAAAGATCTCCTTGAGCAAATGCAAGTCGTAACTTGCTTTCACGGCTGTCCTGCAGCTGCAGTTGGGCAAACTCCTCCTGGATGCCATGCAGATCTTGCAGCATCCCAGCAGAGATCTCGGCCTCAAAGGGCCCCCCCGATGGGTTTTGAAGAGAAACCAAAAGGAGAGCACCAGTTTGGCGGGGGGGGGGGTCCCAAAAATTGACAGACCCAAATTCACCCAAACCAGGGCTGTCCTTCTGGTGGCTTTTTGGGGATAAGAAGTAAGGTCCTTACTGTCAGGTCCCAAAGGCCGAACTCCACTTTTCAGCTCAAAATCAGCCTCCACGCGGCCGGAAAGTCAAGTCCCAAGCGCCCCGCCTCAGATCCCAATGGCTTTCCCGGCGGTCGCCTCAGGCGGAGAAGGGGGTTTTCCCCCCCCTGGTGGCTTTTTGGGGGGAAGAAAGCAGGGGGAGGGGGGGGGGTTGTGTCATCCTCTTTTGTGTGCCCTGGTCACCATTGCTTGCTTTCTCAGCCCCTCAGCCCAGACTTGGGAGAAGTCGCATTTGGTCCGCAGGAATTGGTCTGATTTTGCTTGTGCGAAATGCTTGCGCCTGTGTGGTGCGCGCAAGTCCCAGCGAGCCCGTTATTTGCAGACCTGGTGGTGGCGGCGGAATCTTGGCTTGCACCCAAAAGCAGGCTTGGGCGAGTCACTGTGATGCTGACGATGCTGGCTCTGGCGCGTGCTGTGCGCTGACGTCATAAAGATGCTGTGAGTATTGCAATGCTGGCGTGCTGGTGGTGCTGGCAATGCTGGTCATGTTGGGTGTTGCAATGCTCGGCGCATCCAGCTCAACCTGTGTGCTTGTTTGGCATCCTGGACAGTGCGCACGTAACTTGGTGATTGGTGCCACGGACCATCTGTGTCAACGTGTCTGGACCAAAAAACAGGCAAGAGAGCCATTGCAGCCTGCTGACGCTGCATCTGCGAACTGGCCCAGCCGCAGCCACATTTCCTGGAAATCTGCATGCAAGAACGGCTGAATCAGAAGACGAGCTCATTGGGGTGTGGTTTCTCCCGAAACCATGCAGTGGAGCCTCCTAGAAACCCACTTCAATGCAGCGAGTGCAGCAGAAAACTCCAGAGGGGTCCCGAAAATCGTAGAAATTCGGATGGATGTTCAGCCTCAGAAATCCCCTTCCAGGAACATCTGACAAACGGGAAGGATCACGGAAGTCAGAGCTCAACAATGTCGATGTTTTCCAGCTCAAAACAAGACATTCCGTTCCCCAATCACACTGCGCGAACCCAGCCAAAAAAAGCAGGCCCCGGCCCGTTTGGAGGGCATCGCCAAGGCACGCTCGTGAAGGGGATAACTTTGACACTTGTTTAACCCTAAGGCAAAGTGAAACAAGGTCCAACATTGGGACAGGCAGAAGTGCCTCTACCTTTCTCTCTGGTGGAGTGGGCATAGTGGGGGACTCCTTTCGGAAAGCAGTGAAAAAAGAAAGGGGGGGGGGGGAAAAAACAATCATGAGGGATCCCCAAGGGAGCAACATGATGACACAAATATGTTGTGCCATGTCCATGGAGAGAAAGAGAGAGGGGAGAAAAACAAGATGAGAAGAGAGGAAAGAAAGAGAGAGAGAGAGAGAGATCGAAACAAGACAAATGCGAAAAGGCGAAAAGGCGAAACAGAGAAAAAGAGGAAAAAAGAAAAAAGGCAAGGGAGAAAGAGAAAAAATGGACAAAGGGAGAAAAGGATAGAGAGAGAGAGAGAGACAGAGAGAGAGAATGAAAGAAAGAGAGAAAGAAGCAAAGAGAGAGAGAGAGAGAATAAAAGAAAGAGAGGAAGGTAGACAGAAAGAAAGAAGGAAGGAAAGAAGGAAAGAATCAAAGAAAAAAGCCACTCTCCCTAAATTGATCCAAACGGTGCTGTTCAAACCAGCAACAAAGAGGAGCTACCCACTGCGCGCACGCGCGCGAATGCGCGCCAAGCGTGATGCAAGATCAGCACACGCACAAAACAAAAACAAAAAACAGAAAGGGCGCAGCCCGCAATGCTGGGGACACGGGGTCAAGAAACAGTCAGAATCAGCAAGCCTAAAGGCGTGCTCGCTCGAGCATGCGGCACGGGGGAGGGGCATCAGGGCAGACACAATCGTGAGCAGGAAACGCAATGCAGACCTGGAGCAATTAATCAACAAAGCACAGGACACCAACACAGAGGCGCCGCATGCAGAAAAAGCAACCGGAAAAGCCATGAAACAAGTCTTGAGTGCGTCCTGACAACAAAAGGGAGGACACCACCAAACCGTGCCACAAGCCGAAAAGAACTGGACAGCCCTGCGACGTCCCCAGTAATGTTAACTTCGGATTAAGTTCCATACCAAAAGAGCCAAGCGCCTCTGACTAGTACGGTACTCCAGACAAATCCGACGTTAACCATAGAGGGGTGCCCAAACATTGGGGACCCCTAGCATGATGCGTCCCTCTTCCAAGACCTCCGCCCTTCCAACCCTCCGCGCTCCTCGATGGAGGCGTGTAGCTCCGAGATCTCCGAGTCCATGGCACAGGAGGGCGCCAGGACCGCCACCAGCACCGGCAGCCGCAAAGGGAACCACGGCATCGCGAACGCCGCGGAGTGGATTTTTCGCGGGCGCCACTTGGCGCCGCCAACAAGAGGACCCAGGGCTGTGGAAGTGCCTAGGGTAGCGCCTGTGCTCAGAATCTCTCATAGAACTTGAACGAAACGGTGTTGACTTTATCTTGGGGGATGCCTCTTACACGTTGCGTTCCTTTTCATCAGCCTGCCTTTTGGATGCCAGGATACTGGGGAATACCCCAACGGAAGGCCAGACATTACATATAAATCCGTGTGAAAGTGTGAAGAAAGTGCAGCTTGGGAGGAAGCCAGTGGGTTGGCCTGCTTAGGTTGAGAGGTGTTGGCAGAGTTGCGAAAGCAATTGGCCAACAGCATCGCCAGCAATGCTTGGCATGATGCGTTTTTTTTGAGGGTACCCCTTTTTGGTGGTTTCAAGGGGAACTCTCTGATTCTGCGAGCTGACCTGAAGGAGTGGGCCAAGTCATGACGTATCGGTGCAGCCTCATTGAGCCGATGCCGCGGGTGCCAATCGCCAAATCAGATCGGCATGTCCTGCCACTAGGCCATCCCAGCCCGTCTGAACCCTAGTTCTTCAAGAGGCTCAGTTCTCCAAACCAATCCAAACTCTAAGCGCTGGCCAGTGGATTCCCCTCCCCCTCGTGGTGAGCCTCCGCACGAATGGATTTGTCAGGGCTGGAGACTGTGGCATTGATGATCTCGTTGAAGGTAATGCAGTTCCTGAGCTCAAATGCTCTTAGCTTGGCACATGCGACAACTGCCTATGAACGGGGAGAGATTCACGGGTCAAATCTCATTGATTTCTCGAGGTTTGGGGGGAGCCAATCTACCGCCCGCCCGAGGCGAATTGCACTGAACTCCATCTGAGCAATGGACGGCTGCAGCTGTTCCAACTTGGTCGCAGAAACGAGTATCGACAACCGAGCAAACAGGAGCCTCGATTTCATCAATCCGGTCATTTAACCCAAGCAAAGCGATACACAAATCCGATTCGGTAAGGCGCACCTAGTTTGAACCCCTGCAGTGAACAGGGCAAGGCTCCAGTGAAAGCGGGCAGCTCCTCATTTGTCTCTTTGCTGGCTGATTTGCACCATTTGGGTGCCCTGAGCTCGAAACTCGCATCTCCTCGACCAAGGACTTGGCTTTCTTCATGTGTCCAGCCTGCGCAGAAACCAGGCGCATCTGGGTGTGTCTTTTTTAGGGCCCCCCAAAGACTGGTGATTCTCCCTTTGGTCTCCCTTTTTCACAACCACAAAAAGGTGCCCTCCACAAAATGAGAGACCCAGATTCCTGTGGACCCCCCGATCTGCTTTGCTAACTTTCCGAAGGCCTCAAAAATCAGCGGTCACCCCGTCACCCTCCGGTGCCTGCAAATGGGCCTTGATGAGCGTGTTGTAGCTGACGACATCGGACATGCCCTGAGAGCGCATCACCCCGATGCCCAAGTCATCTTAGCTGGATGGCTACGTAGCTGGCTGGCTTGCTGGTTACTCTCCGGCTTGGCTAGCTACCTGATTTGCTGGTTCCAGCCAGCGTAGCAGCACGTTGGTTAGTCTCTTAAACAGCTTGTTATTTCCGAGTTGGCTACCTAGCTTATTCATTCCTCAGCTTGCAGCCTAGATATCCAGCTTGTTGGCTCTAGCAAGCTGACTCGTTGATAACTTGTGCTTTTAGCTGGCTAGTGCGTTGGCGAGTGAGTGCCAGTCAGGTCAGGGCAAGTCAAGTCAACCAAACCCAGTCGGTCGGTCGGTCGGTCAGTCAGCCAGCCAGCCAGCCAGCCAGCCAGTCAGCCTGTCGAATGCACGTGATTAGGTTTTAGTTTGGCAACTTGTCAATCTATCGGCTGGATAGCTCGCTAGTCACTTAGTTTCAATAGGCTGGCCAGCGAGTTTGTTAGCAAATAGCTGCTGAGTCCGACCATTGAGCTGGCGAACACGCGCCTTTTCGAATGCTAGGATACACCAGCAAGTTGACAACGAGACTCCTACAAAAACAGGGTCTTGATGAATGTCCGCTTGAAAGTGCAAAAAACGGCTGTGCAAGGAGATGAAGCACCCGAAAAACGGCGAGCGCTTGTTGACAAAGAAAAGCAAAACAGGTATTCATAGTGAAGTGCCTGAAAGTCCGAAAGCGTTTGGATCCGTGCGAGCGATAGGGCACCCCCCCTGCCCCCTGCCCAATCACCCCCCCCTTTCTCTCATGGATCAGAAACGACCAAACCTGCGAGCTTGGGCTCGTACGTCCTTCTTCATCTGCTTCATCCAAGCCTGGGCCTTCTCCAACTGGCTGCATTCCACGCATGCCTCGCGGCCAAAAGTTGATCCATCAGGCTGAGAGGAGTAGGACATGTTTTTTCCACGGAATGTGAACAAGAACTTGGAACCTGTCCAACGAGCTCTCGCGAGTTTCTTTTCAACCGAGCAAGGGGCCTTAGGACTTCTTGACACCCATCACTCACCAAAGCTCCTAGAGCCCTAGACCAAATCAGCTGGGCCACATCCAGCACGGTGTTGTAGACCACCGAGTTCAGCTCGGCGCCGCTCTTCTTCAAGGACTCGAAGACGTTCATGGCCTGACCCGCGGGAGCTTGAAGCCGACGAATTCAAAGGTTTGCAGTCAGCTTGGTGGGCTCTGGGCATGGGAAAACCCAACAACAAGCCCCTGGCTGCTCCCTTCGCCAGATTCGGTTGGCACGCAGTGGCGGAACGCGGGACGGTGGCCAGAGAGTACACAATGCAAAATGACAAACAGATTCCAGACTAGGACTTGCTGCAACCATCATGAAGAATCGCAAAAAGAACTTTCAAATGGACCTTAAAAGGGGAAGTGGCCTTCGATTAGTTGGGTTAGAGCCCTTTGTCCCTGCCCGATTAAGAGTATCTCTGCGCCATGCGGAATAGACTGGCATCAAACTGACACGTGAGTTCAAGCTGATATGCGGGGATGTGATGAACGGAACCTTTTTGGAGCAGTTTTAGGGAACGTAAAGGAAGCCAATTTAAAGTGTCCCCTGGCTTGCGGCAGTTGCACATCGACCAAACCGGCTGTAAGATGCCAGCTCCATCCAAGTTCTGCTCAATGGCACAGCTGCGGATCATGGTGATGTGCTTTGCCACGTCGGACCTTGGCCCATCACAACCAAACAACTGGGTTTTCCATGTGGCAAGCCAAATCCGGGGCTTTGTTTTGGAAGCTCCTCCTCCTCCCGCTCTCGCAAGCAACCGCAGCCATCCCCTCGCGCTGCGGCCTCCTCGATTTCTCTTACCAGCAAAAAAGGCTGTCGCGGGTCCATGTCCAATCGAGTAGTGACATTCTGGGCAGGCGGCGGGTTGTCAGACAGCAACGACTGCGCCTGGCAAGGTGCGCTGCTTGCGGACAAGTCGCGCAAAAGGCCAGTGGCGGGTGTCGCGCGGCGAAAGGGGGGGGTCTTCTTACACTTTGAAGGGATCCTTGGTTCGGGGGATGTTCCTACTGGGCTTCCTATTTTCCCGGCCACGTCTCTCCCAGCCCAACAGGCATCTGCCTTTTTTCGCCAACTTGTGCGGCTCGAAGGATGCGCATTGCAGGTGAACCACTTGGCAATCCCAAGCTGTTCAAAATAAAGGATTGAACCTGTAATCATTGCGAAGTCACTGAGGGGACCCCCTTGGCCCAAGTTGGCAAGATCCTTTGGGGCAAACCAAAAACGAAGCAACCGCCCTAGCAATCGATCACTTCCCAGGTGGTTCCTGTGGCCAGCAGCCGCTCGAACAAGCCCTCTGCACAAGCCGCAGCGGGCGAGTACACACCTCCCGCTTTTTCAGACTTGGGTAGGTCCACCAGGGCCAAAGCGGCCTCCAGGGTGGCAGCTTTGGCCCACCTCTCTTTGGACGAAAACATCGACTTGCTTTTTTCGAGTTGTCCCTTGGAGAAAAGGGAAAACTTGGTGGTTTTAATGAATTTGCTGACCATTGACCCAAACAACCAGTTGTCTTAACCAATTTCAGAGCAACTGGTTTGTGTGCATTTTGCCCACTGGCCTCCGCGCACATGCGTGCGGTATCTTTGTAGCCCGGATCTGTCGGGAACTTCATCACGGCCTAGCGAAAAACGTGCCAAGCTTGCAGGTCCTTCCTGGCAAACAAAAACACAAGGGCCACATTGACATACGGTGACCCGGTTAGCACCCCGTACTATACATCTGGCGGCACAAGATGATATGGACAAGTCCCAAAAGAGGGCCCAACCATTCATCGACCACAAAACGTGACGCCACTGCTTCAGCACGTGACACCCGCCTTGCATTTGGGGCTCTTTGCCTTGGTGTCCGCATAGGCCGTCAGCGTCAAGAAGCCTTGTTCCATCTCCTCCGAGCTATCTGGCCTAGTAATCGGACCAACAAAACCAGGTTAGGACACCCTATCACAGCACCCGCTTAGTTCTTCATTGGGGCCAAAGGCACCTCCCCGTCTTAGTTCTCTTTCCTGCGGCATTTGTTGCATGGATACGCTTCCTGAAATCCATGGCTCACCACTATTCTTGCTGCATGCTGTAGAAAGGCTTCTTGGCAAGAATTGGCAAGCGTGGGTTTGAAATCAGATGGCATCTTCAAGGCCTTCTGTTGTGTGCTGAGTGACAAGCCTTGCACATGCGGTGAGCTTTCTAGTCAGTGCGTGCAAACGCAGGCAGCCTGATCAACCTTCCAGTCGCTCCTGGTCCACAACTTCCATGAGTAGGGCACCAAGGAAAAAATGGAACATGGAAAGAGCACCACTGCTCAAACATGAAACCTGCGCTCCAAGAGACGCCGACCTCCCCCAACTCTTCAGCCTCCCTCGCTCCTCCGCGGTGGGTCCGACCCCGGGCTCCGGCAGCACCCCCAGGGAGTACCACCAGCTCTGGGTGAAGGGCAAATACACGGAGAGGCCCAGAGCCGCGGTGGTCATCGTGGACAGCCCCAGGTCGCTGGACTCCAGAATCGCCTCGTGGTACCTCAGACCCCAGGTTTCAAAGACCCACCCAAAGAGAAACACGTCTGCACATGCAGCAAAGCATGGTATTTAGTGTTTTTAGCAAGAGCGGCAGCTTCAAACCACATCGCGGGGAGCGCCCTCTTTGAAAAAGATGGGTGCCCTGAAAAAAAAAAAACAAAAAAAAAAACACGACACCCCCCAAGCCCCCCCCCTCCAGAGAGGAGGGGGGGGGTGTTTTTTATCCGGGCGCTTCAGGTCCGGCACCATCTTCAGCACCGCGTTGGTTCGACGCACCGCGTTGGCCATCACAGGGCCCATGACCCAAGGCCCGCCCTTCTGCCCCGCCTCCGTGTAGTACTGGCTGCCTCAAGCTTCCATTGGAACCCATTGGAACCCAAACAAAAGGTGGCCGCCCTATGAATGTCCATTTAAACCACCCCAAAAAAGGGACTACCCCAAGAACAGCTCTCCCTCCAACTTGTACCCAGTTCTAGGCTTGAGAACCATCAGCTTGCGGCTTTGCTTTTTTGCGCTCCCAGCCTTTCGGCAGGTCGACTTGCGTGAGGCAGTCAGACTTCTTTCCGTCTGGCAGCCGGTACAAGGGATCAAAGCCCAGGGAGCTCTTGCTGGCCTTCTGACGCATGTTCAGCATGGCCGTGTTCATGGTCCCTCCACTGGGCTTGCTCTTCATCTCGCTCAGGATCTTCACTCCTGCAAAAGGAAAACGGTACGATCTAGCTCTAGAAACATCTGCATGCCAAGAAGCAGCAGCTAACTATGCTGCAACATCTATGCTGCAACATCTATGCTGCTGCAGCGCTGACGATGACAGCTACGGCGGCGACAACGACAACGACCACCACAGCGACGACGACGACAACGGGTAAAGGCGTCATATGCGCCATCCGACTCCCAAGAGGAGACACCAAGAAGCAAAATGCCAGACTGACCGCGTTCTGAGCAAATATCCAGGTAGAAACCCAAAGCTAATATCCTGTGCATCCTTAACGCATGAACCAACTACACGGGCTTGTCTCAAAAATCAGGACCCATTGTTGATGCCCTTTTGATTTTTTTGAAACACCAAAGAACACACCAGCATAGACACCAGGACGTCGTCTCTGCCTTGAAGGTAGCGCGACTAGCGCGCAAAGCATCAGCATGATGCTGTCAACATCACCATTGTGCTGCTGAACTCATTTGGGCGTTGTCTGTGCAATGTCTGTGCAAGGCTTGCGTGGCTGTGGTATCACTATGATGCTGTCAGCATCATCATAATGCTGTCAACATCATCATGATGCAGGTGGAACCATTAGGATGCTGTGCTGCGTCATGATTCGTAGCCGTGTTATACTATCTGGGGTGTTCGACAGCATCATGATGATGCGAACAGCATCATGATGATGCAGCCAGCGTCATGATGACACGGAAACGAAACATCTTGCGACATTGTAATGAAACTCAGCATCATCATTATATTGACACAATCATGTTGCTACATGACCCGCAAACCATAAAGCGCATCGAATTGCACGGAACATTCCGCGCGCGGCCTAATGGGTTCAACAACTTGATGATTACGCGGTCAGCCTCATGATGACCGCAACCAGGAATCACCCCCCCCCCCGAGCAGCCTGCCGACAATCTCGACAAAATGCGCCCTCGAAGAACCCCAAACTGCACGCCCCCTACTGGCAATCTCGCTACAATGCACCCACACCGTCATCAGCACCTGCACCAGCACCCCAAACAAACTGCATGCCACCTAGCACCCTGTCATCAATCTCGCAAATCACTTTCCCTTCGTTACTACAAGTTAGAACCCCATGTAGCTTTCCGCTATCCGGTGAAAACCGTTGACTCAAAAGGGGGTCCTCAAAAAAGGAGGAATCCTCAAACAGACGTTCCATGTCCAACCCCCCCAAAAAAAATAAATAAAAAAACTAGACCAGGGTTGGCCCGAAAGCAGAACATCGCAAGCGAGGTCGGCCCAACGCTGCAGGATGCGTTCTTTTTCCCTACACGAAGCATTGGTGAAGCAAGCGCGAGACAGCACCAGGCAAGGTGCTCTGTGCAAGTTGCTCTGTGCAAGTTGCTCTGCGTAAGTTGCTCTGCGCAAGTTGCTCTGCGCAAGTTGCTCTAGGCAAGGCGCTCTGCGCAAACTGGTCGGCGCAAGTTGGTCTGCGCAAGTTGCTCTGTGCAACTTGCTCTGCGCAAGTTGCTCTGCGCAAGTTGCTTTAAAATGCAAGTTGCATCTTGCGACGCCCGCCCGCGGACCAGGGAGGAATCGAACCCGCGACCCGCCGGTTCCGGGAGCAGGCGCGCGAACCACGAGACAACTCCCGAGGACCAGTTCGAACAACAAAAGTCGCAAAAAACCTCGAGTTTTTGCACCTCGACCACGCCGATCCCCGCAGAGGGTTGCGCGGGCACCGCAGAAATCGCAAAAAACCATCGGTTTTTGCACCTCGACCACGCCGATCCCCGCAGAGGGTCGCGCGGGCCCAGAAATCGCAAAAAACCATCGGTTTTTGCACCTCGACCACGCCGATCCCCGCAGAGGGTCGCGCGAGCACCGCAGAAATCGCAAAAAACCTCGAGTTTTTGCACCTCGACCACGCCGATCCCCGCAGAGGGTCGCGCGGGAACTTTAGAAATCGCAAAAAACCATGGGTTTTTGCACCTCGACCACGCCGATCCCCGCAGAGGGTCGCGCGGGAACTTTGGAAATCGCAAAAAACCATGGGTTTTTGCACCTCGACCACGCCGATCCCCGCAGAGGGTCGCGCGGGAACTTTAGAAATCGCAAAAAACCATGGGTTTTTGCACCTCGACCACGCCGATCCCCGCAGAGGGTCGATTTTCGTGTAGTGTCGTCGGCACTACCCCGCCGCCCTAAGAAGAGATTTTAACTCCTCGCAAGTCAATTGCACTTGACTCCTTCAAGGAGTCATTGCAAGTGCACGGAGTTAAGTGCAAGTGCAAGGAGCCAAGTGCAAGGAGCCAAGTGCATGGAGTGCAAGTCAAGTGCAAGTTGCAAGTGCATGGAGTCAAGTGCAAGTTGCAAGTGCATGGAGTCAAGTGCAAGTTGCAATTGCAAGGAGTCAAGTGCAAGTTGCAATCCTTGCATGACTCCTTGCAATGACTCCTTGCAATCCTTGACTCCTTGCAACTCCTTGCACTGACTCCTTGCAATGACTCCTTGCAATGACTCCTTGCAATGACTCCTTGCAATGACTCCTTGCATGACTCCTTGCAATGACTCCTTGCAATGACTCCTTGCAATGACTCCTTGCAATGACTCCTTGCAATGACTCCTTGCAATGACTCCTTGCAATGACTCCTTGCAATGACTCCTTGCAATGACTCCTTGCAATGACTCCTTGCAATGACTCCTTGCAATGACTCCTTGCAATGACTCCTTGCAATGACTCCTTGCAATGACTCCTTGCAATGACTCCTTGCATGACTCCTTGCAATGACTCCTTGCAATGACTCCTTGCAATGACTCCTTGCAATGACTCCTTGCAATGACTCCTTGCAATGACTCCTTGCAACTCCTTGCAATGACTCCTTGCAATGACTCCTTGCAATGACTCCTTGCAATGACTCCTTGCAATGACTCCTTGCAATGACTTTCATGATGATGATTCTTTGCAATGACTCCTTGCAATGACTTTCATGATGCTGATTCCTTGCAATGACACCTTGTAATGACTCTCATGAGAACAACTCAAGTGAACCCAGCGGAAGAACCCTTTGCCATGCTTTCGGCAAAAGAATACCACGTCCTGTGAGCTCAGCTCCCAGCAGCTTCCAGAGCTTCCAAACCGCCAGATCCCAAGGCACGCAGTCTTGTCCGCAGTGCACGGTGATCCGCGCCCCGCTCTGCCTCCGCAAAGGAACCTCCACTCTGACTCTGTCATCAATTTGCCTATCCCTGAAGACCTGAAGATGACCAGTTGTCTCTCATCCATTCCAAACCGCTCGCCCGGCCTGGCCACCTCGTCGTACTTCTCGATCATCTGCCGGAAGAAGGTGCTCTCCCCGCTGGTGTCCACGTAGTCCACCCCCAGCTCGGCGCAGGCCTGGACCAAGGGCTCGCCGTACTCCACGAAAGGCCCGATGCTCGTGCACACGCATTTGGTCTTCTTCACGATGTCCTGCGTAACCCACGGGAAAAGAGTCTGGAGGGAACCCCCAAGTGTGGTTTCACCATGTCCTATGCAAAAATCCAGGGGAAGAGGGTGGCGTCCCTTTCCTGGGGTAGAGGTGTTTGTTTTTCCTGGTTGTTTTCACAGGGCTGGTTTTCAGGGCTGGCAACATCCCAGCATCACCAGCCTCACTTGGCCCAGGGGGTGGTTATTGGCAACGCTCCAAAACCAATCCTAAACGAGACCAAAACTCACGAACCCACATCCCTAAAGCAACCCTACAGGCACCGCTTAACCGGCACACCCAACACAAATCAGCTCGAGCCAACCCCAGATTCACCCAAAGTCAACCCTAAACCCTCCCAACAGCAGCCTGGATGTCAGCCCTTCGCTTTGCCTAAGTCAACCCGAAACCACCCCAAGACCAACCCTCATGAAGATCTAAGCCAGCCTAACCCCCCTAACTTAAACCAGTCTCCCTAATCAGAGCCAATAACCACCCCCTGGGCCAAGTGAGGCGGTTGATGCCGGGATGCGCCAAGCCAGCCCAACCAACCAACGAAGAAAAAGAAATGAAAAAAACACCCTCCTTGACCTCTGCTTGAGAAGCGGCCACCACGTCCAGAACCAGAATCTCTGGCTTTGCCGACGCATCTTCGATCAACTTCTCCAGCTTTGCTCGATTCCTCCCGCAGATGGCGAACTTGACGTTGCCTTTCTGCAGCAAGTACTTGAGCATTAAGGCTCCAGTGAAGCCAGTTGCCCCGAACAAAATGACGTCATATTGCGCCATGGCGCGGGCAACGTGAGGCAAAAGATGTACTCAAATAAGAAACCGATCTGAGAATGAAACAATGGTCTGGGAGTTTGCTCTTCAGTGGATGTCTGAGCCAAAGCAGGTGCACACGGTTCATGCAACGCGACGCCCCGATGCCAGGAGCGCCGAAGTTTGCACCGGGAGTCTCCAACACTTCCGCAATATCTTGGAACTTGCTTACAATTATTAGGACGCCGTGCTGGAAGGTTGCAGTTGTTAGCAGGAAACCCCACCTGTCAGAAGACGGTTCCCTATTTGGGGACCCACCAGCACGTGCTCAGGCACGTCAGACAGGCCGGGCGCGCAAGCTTGCTGCGGCCACACTTCAAGGCAGCGTTCATGACGCAACGCCTGGCCAAATAGCAGGGCAGCGGGCTCCAGACTTCGCCCCTCTGGACTCTTGGCGGCCCTTTGTCCCGGACGTCGGGACTACTCTTCCCCTGCCCCGAGAAGAGAAAAACCGAGAAAAAGAAGAAGAAAAAAACTGAACCGCTGGTTACTGTACATCCTAAAAGTGGAGTCCTATCTAAGATAAGGCACAAAATCCGTTTTTTTAAGGTTCCCTTTTTTTGTGGTTCTATTTAACTCAGCTCCCGGCTCCATGCGAGAATCCAGGATGCTTCTGCCTGGGACGTACCAGCAGCCCTTGGTCTCCCAAAAGAAACCCAGATGGGAGTGTTGCTTTTAGGGGAACGCCAAAAATGGCTTCGGTTCTCCTTTTGGTTTCCCGGTTTCTTATAACACGTCCAAAAAGAGGGTACCCTCAAAAAAAGACACACCCCCTTGCAGTGCTGATTCTTGTGCACCTAGTGGCCGCGCTTTCCACCAGGGCCTGAGTCAAGTTACGTCCCCCAATACACCCACAGCCGCCGAAGTCCTGCCTTCGCTTGCAGCTTTCTCTCGCAATGGCGCCGCATCCTTCTCCTTGGCCAAGTTGCACGGGTCTCAATCGCCTCTCATCTTTGGAATTGCACCCCTCGGGTTCAGCAGTTTACGGTCGCCCGACCGCTTCCAACTGAGGCCAAGCAACAATCCACGCCCGCAAGGCATGTCATCGGGCGATGTCGTTTTTGAGGGTATCCTTCTTGGGTGTTTTGAAGGGGAACCAAATAGGGATACCATATGAAAAGCAGTGGCTCCCCTCTGAAACTAAGCCATCTCTTGCCACGCTGAGCAGCAGGCATACATGTCGCACACCTTCTCATAGTCCTCTACCTCTCGAATGCAAATCTTCGCAGCAGCCTACTTTTTTCAACATGACAGTCAAAACTCCGTGGGTCACGGCGATACCTCCCCCCAGTTCTCTAAGCTCCCGCTGGAAGAATCCATGACCATCCCACGTTTGGACCGGCAGTTGGAGTCCTCGAAGTGGAAGCGGATGAAGGCCGCGAGGACCGACAGCCTGAACCCGTCTGCACCAGTGGGTTGTCGTCAAACCAAAGGCGGAGAAGCCGCTCGGCTTTTTTTTGCTCGGGAATGTGCCTTATTTACCTCCAAATTGCGCAAGCTCAGCCGCGGCTCGCATACGTTGGGGAACCCATGGCTTCCCTTACGAAATGTCAAGCCTGCCATGGCTGCAGCAAGTACCCTGTGCCTTGCTAACATGGCCCCAAGATGCGTGTGTGTGTGTGTGAAAAGCGTAAGGCCAGCACGGCATCTGCTTGGAGAAGTGTTGGTAGGCGCTGTCTGCCTTAGCTGTACAGGGAGATATGGATGTGCACCATACGAGGTTCTGAGTGCCCGGAGAAGTTCGAAAAGAAACAAACACATCGTGCTACCACTACCATGTCCTTACAGAACTCCTGGTGGCTCCGAAAGGCTCCCTCTTTACAAGCAAACTTGGATGCCCCAAGCTCCTTGTGTTGCGGAAACTGGGGAGTGGCCAGGAGAGAAACTTTCTTTCAATGCAAGCGCCCCTTGTTTAAGAGCGAGGCGAGGGCGAAGTTGTGCGTCCTTGGCTCCAGTTTCGCCAAATCGGATGCACGCGGTCCACTCATCCCTTCAAGGATCACATTGAACGTTTTCCCCGAGTTTGGGGGTTCATCCCTGTCTCCCTCTCTGTGCTTTCCACTTGGGTGTGTCTTTTTTTGCCGACCAAGAAGGGGTACCTGTCAAAAGAAGACACACCCATTTGTGGCTGTCCCATGGGGGCGGTGGCTTGGGGGAACCCATGCGCCGGCCATCCAGCCCCCTGACTCGGCCAAGGAGCTGCTGGCAGCACACCAAGAGCGCCAGGCACAACTCGGGCCCTGGACGGCGCGTTTTTGCTGCGTCCCAGCCGAAGATTGACTAGGTCCTCCAGTAGAGAGGTTAGAAGAAGGGTACCAACTTTTTTCTGGTTTGTCTATTTTAGTAGGGGAACCCTCCCCAAAAAAGGGTGAGAAAGGGCACTACTGGGGGAGCTAGTTGAGCCCCGCGGGGGAAATTTGGCCAGTCCCTTCACTCCAGGAAGCTGATCTTCCAGGTGCCTCCCCAGAGGTGCCATGGCAACGTGGGAGAGAGGGTAATCTCTTTTGACCCAACCCGATTTCCGCGGGAGGCGCCTGCATCTGTCTTCTTGGCCAAAGCCTCCTGAAACAGCTGCGCGACCTTGTCGTCCCGTCCTGAAAAGCAAAAGCGCGGATCCAACAGCGAGGAAGAGACTGAAATCTAGGTCTTCTTCTTTCGCGTACAATGAGTCCCTGGCTTTAAGTCTGTTGACCAAATCACGTGAGCCCAAATGCTTCAGCCCAAAAGCCAACAACAGAAGCAGGGCAGGTCAGAAGGCCCTCTATTTCAGGTCCTTGCATATCCGCACACGTTTTGAGACACTCAGCAAAAATTGGGTCTCTCTTGTTGTGAGTCGACCTCCTGTTTCTTCTTTACCAAACCCCGACAAGGAACCCACTGTTTCCCCCAATACCTCAGTGATGGTAGAAATCTACCGTGACCCCCTTGTCAGCTTGGCTGACCATGCGGGCCCGTCCTTTGTATCCCTTCATCAGCATGCCGTACGTGGACTCCGAGAAGACCTCGGTGCGAAAAAGACGAGAGGCCTCCGAAAGGGAATGGTCGGAAGGGTCTTCAGAACAAGGGAATGGCTGTCGGCTTCCCAAGATGTCCAAAGAAAAACGGTCGCAATTCAAATACATGGCCCGAAAAGCGACGGCCCCGCTGAAATGAAGGACAGCCCGCGATTGGTCCCTTCCAAAGGAAGCATGTTGGCAGAAAGAAAAAAAGAAGAATAAGAAGAGAAAAAAAACACGGGGGAGCAGGCTGGAGACGGCATCTCCGGCTTTTCAGGACATCCAACCTTGGGGGGTGACTCAGGGGCCAACACTACGGAGCCCACCACCCGAGAGCGGCGCAATGTCTTTGCTGCGGGCCAGCTTCTCAACCTCTGCCACTGGACCGGAAACCAATACGGAACGATCTTCCAAAAAGGGTGGCACCAAAAAATGCGATGAGACAACTGCAATGATCAATTCAAGAGCTCCCACGGGGAGGGAGGGGTAATTCTACAGTGGATCTCTTGTGGCGCTAGTGTTTGGAAGTCACACACACCCACAGGCAATGCCTTGATCATCTTGGTAAACCAAATCGCAACGAAAATGTTCGAATCGCTCAAATTCTTGGGCTGCCAATGTTGCCAAGGTTGGGCTCCTGCCTGCGCCAGGCTAAGGCTAGCCAGCTAGTAAGATAGCCTGTGAGGTATGTAGAAAAGTGATGAACTAGCAAGTTATTCCTGCATAAATGTTCTTTCGACCCCCTGCCAACCATGAATCCTTGCTAGTGGGCAACCAGGCATTGAAAGGCTACAGGTCGAACAGAGCAACAAAGCTCCCGATGCCTTTCTCAATGGTGCCCTCCTTCTTTGGGTCCTTAAGAAACCAAAGGGGCAACAAAAACAACACGCCAGGACCCGCCCCTCCCCGCCCCCGTAACACCTCCGCCCCCCCCCCCCCCCCACCCATGTTTTTGCGAAGGGTTCCAGCCCGTTTTTGAGGCACAGACCTGCTCAAGCAGCTCCAGGTCCCTCTCCCTCACCGCCTCGCTGACCATAAGGTGCACCGCCTGGGCCCATGTTGCGAACACCCGCGCCGCTTGGCTTCAAGGAATAGGTGAGGAAAAGGGCCTTGAAGGACCAAACCAAAGATGTGTCAAACCCGCGAGCGAGCGCGCGCCAAACACCAACACGCACGAACCCGGGTAAACACAACAAAAACAAGAAAATTAGGCAAGTGGCAACCCTGCACTTTGTTGAGCGACCAACTCTGACGCATGCAAGGACCGAGCGTCATTGTACTCAAGCTTCCAATCTGCAGAGCATATAACCCATGATTTACCGGCCGAACCTGTCAATTGGCTGGAATCGAAATAACTGCAGTCAACCTTTCTCAATGATTGATAGAGCAGTTGGAACACTGCACCCCTCGACAGCAAAGTCTTAGGATAAGGTTTGCGCATCCTCTGCAAGTGGGACCGTCGCAAGCTCGGGAAGGAATCGCTTGAGCTCGTGCTCCTGACCGCGGGGTTGCCATCTCCTGAAACATGGGAGAGGATGATCTAAATGTCCGACTTCCTGGCAAAGCAGGATGATGCTCACAGGTCCAGGGATGGACGCACGGACATGACGTCTCAACATGAGGGGTTGTCTCTTGGGTGCTTCCAAAAGCCAACAAACGACTCTGCCGGCTGGGGAAGCCCAATTCCAAAATACACACACACACACCTGTTTGGATCCTGTGCAGTGAAACGCAACTGAGGATGCTGAAATGACCAGTTGCCCGACTGCTGCCCCCTCCTTGCAGGCCATGTCCACGAGCTGACCCACCTCGAGTCTGAGACTTTCAAGCCTCTGCTCCCCGGGTTCATTGGTTTCCTTTCGGCTTCCATTTGAAACCATCCGAGGGGGGGACACCCATTTTGAGACCGCCCTTCGTTATAAGAAAGTGGCTATCACCGAAAAATGTGCAAGGACCTGAAATGGAAAGCGCTGGAGACCGTGGCTAAATCATGGATCGGTTTTCCGGGTTCAACACGTCTATATGTTTGCCAAACCTTCGTGTGGTCCCATCGGTTGGTCCAAACCTGCGGGGGGAAATGGTAAAAAGGGGCCAGCCGGGGGTTGGCGGCCTTTTGATGGTTGCCTGTTCTGGCTTTTATGTTGGTCTCAAACCTGTTGACCCCCTTCTTCGTTTCTAAAAGTGGGTGCTTTGAAGGAGCGGAGAAATGGTCCCCGATCTTGACACCAGCTCCCCGCCTTCCCGCCTTCCCTCACCTTCCGCCCTCCGCGAAGCTCCGTCCCAGGGCCCCCGCGATGTGGCGCGGTGCCGTTGAGGGCCCCATGCTCGCAGGACCCGACCACAGCGACTTCAACTCCCGGAACGTGGCCAGGGCCTGGGCCCGGCGGCGGCAGTGGTAGCTCCGCTTAAAAATGATACATGGGGGCTGATCAATAATCCTGGGCCCCAAGTGACCATGTAGAGGACAAACCCCCCACATGCAAGTTCTTCTCGTGTTCCTTGAAGCATCCCATGCTCTCATAACGTCCTGTCTGTTGTTGTGTGCTTCTTGTGTGCTAATCGTTCCGTATCTAGTATTCTGAGTGCGGCTGTTCTCTGCACACATGATCCCTGCAAACTGCTCTGTGCAAAGGTGTGTGTGTGTGTGGGTGGGATATTGTGTTGTCTTCTGACACACAATCCGAGCACATGGTTGTGCCTGTGTTCTCTGTCAATGTGCGACTTGTATCCTGTGCAAATGACATGCTCTAGTTCCTTTATGCACGTGTCTGTGTGTGTGTGTGCGCGTCCAAAATTTGATCTGTGCAAATGCTCTCTGCAGGTTGTTTTGTATGCGCTGATTGGTGATTCTGATGGTTTGTTTTGTGTCCCGTGTTTCTTGCGCTTGTGCGCGTGTGCTGTTCTACGCAACGTGCGCTCTGCTAATGATGGCATGTCATGAAATTGTTATTGTTGGTTCTTCTATGCTCTCCGCAAGTTGTTCTCTGCATGTTGCCTCCAGGCATTCTCTCTGCGTGTGTATGCTCCGAGCAGGCCATTCTTTTCCCTTGGCACATGACTAAAGAAGGCCGAGTTGGAGCTCCCAACATGCACTTTAGGTACTTTGGTACGCAAAGTTCCGCGCGGACCAGCGAGGACTCAAGCCGGCTGCTCACTTCAAAAAGGCATACAATTCGTGTGACAAACCTTTCAAGCCCTAGTTCCAAACTGAGAAAAGCATCGACGTACCCCGGCTCGCCAGCATTGCAGAAAATCAACATATGCGCCGCTCCACAGCTTCCACAGCCAAATGCGCGTCATCCAAGCAATATGTTCCTCGCAAAGGGCAGACACAGCATGCGTGATCCCTGCAGAACTTTCGTGGAAGGCATTGTAAGGAGTCGTGCTTCAACGAGACTGATCAACACTGGCTTTTTTGATGTGCAATTTGTTCTGCAAGTTGTAATTTGCGTACATGTTCCGTGCCACTTCTTCCGAAATGCCAGCTGTGCTGGCTCTTTTGCGTATGTCTTGCTCTGCGCTGCTTTATGCGCATGTTCTTCTGCATGCAAAGTCTGTTGTATGTGATACGTGCGAGTTGCTCTGAGAATGTTGCTCAGTGTGTATTGAGTTCTGCGTAGATCATTAGGGCAATATCATCAGTGCAAATTGGTTCTTCTTTCTTGACGCATCTTGGTGCTGAAAATATGTCTCCCACTTGTTTGGGCTTGCTATGTGCATCTGGCTGTGGTCTTCCCGGAACGCTGTGCAGTTCTCCCTGTTAAACTGAACCTCATGATTGAGGGGATTAAAAAAAAAAAAAAAAAAAAAACGGGAAAGGGGTCAACGCGTGTTTGGGATCATTTTTTGAACGCGCTTTTATTCAGGTGGGTGTGAGAGAGGGCACGTAGCAGCCCCACCCCACCCACCCGCCCCACCTCTTCCCCAGCGGAAACCGCCCGGAAACCGGCTTTGCCCAAAATACCCGGAAATACCAGGTCCACCTTTTGGGACCTTTTCCCAAAAATGGACTAACAAGGGAACAGACCAAAAGGCCAGATCCGACCGGATCCGCTTTGGACAACTGAGCCAGCCGCCTCTTGAAAGTTCTCCGTCTTCAAAGCTGTCTTGATGATCACAATCGATGCGCGAGTGGACAGTGGCACCTGCGATCTTGAACTCCCAATCGACCGTTTGTTCTTTTGCCGCAACAACCTAGCCCTAAAGAAACTCGCTTGTGGCTAGAGATGTGAATCTTCTTCCCTGCCTTGGTTGCCTTTGCTTGGCTCACCAGCTCATCCACCTTCTCAAAGGTCCGCATCCTAATGAAACACCCCGCGCCGGCTGCGGCAACATCCGTCGCGACCCTTTTTGGTTCATTCCCAAAGTCTTGACTTGCCAAGAGGGTCTCGCGTTTCAGGTCCCGGCGTGAAGTACATGTTCATCAGAATCTCATAGGAGCGGCTGTCCAACGCGAAGCCTACGAGAGCAGCGCCCTTTAGGTTGACCACCCAGTAGAGGGAAAAACAGAAGCCTACAGCACAAATATCAAGATGTAAGGATTATGCAATGCATATAAGAAATATTATTCAGGTGGTCAGGAGTTGGTAATCCACATGAATCAAATGCACGATCTTGATGTGAGAAAGAAGCAAGGTTGTCCAAATTCATGCCAGGGCGGTGCGTTGAAGTGCCCGAACTTCGGCAAGTGGCCCTCTATCAAGGCCCAGCGAATTGGTCGATGGCCTGCGGGCAAAATCTTCAGGATGGACTGCACAAAGTCGCTATCATGACCTCAGTTCGCGAACCATGCGGAGGCAACTTGAACATGTGCCGCCGGCAAAAACTTGAAATCAAACATGGAATCTTAATAATAATAATAAAATCACAGACACACATGCAGAGGAATCTCGCGGGATCTTGGAGGTATATACATATATATATATATATATATATCTGCACATGTGCTGTTCATATGTGCGGTAGGTATAAACTTGTAAGGGCATATAGATGCATACATGGTTCGGTGCACATGCGAAGATATGCATGTGTATATATATATATGTGTATATATATATATATGATATATATGTACAAATGTATAGTGTTTGTACTTGTGTGCCAGGGTGAACCTGGAAGCATCGATCTCTGCTTGGCACCAAACTCAATTAAGTCGAGGCTTGAAGCTCACCCGACAGCCTCAAGATTGATTAAAAACAACTCCAGAATTGCGTCGTTTGGGATCTTGCTTGGCCTTGAGCGCGTACTTGCGGCAGCGTGTTTAGATTAAGTCGGTCGACTATGAAAGAAAGCAGCTGTACACCAAACGGTCCAAACCTTGCGCATTTCCCCTAAATCTTGCTTCCAGCGACTCATCCGAGGGGCAATCGCCCAGGAATGCCACAACAAAAAAAACAAGCTTGAGACGACTCACCATCACATGTTCTGCAAGCTGCATGGGGGCAGAGTGGTCCGTGGTTTTGAGTGTTCCTACCCGCTGGACGGAGGAGCTGAGGGGGAAGGAAGCAAGCGCGACACTGAGCAGACTACAGGCCAAAGTCCTCGTAGACAGAAATTATACATGCATGCATATGGAGGGGGGTGACTGTGTTTAGGGGACCCAACATGGAGGTGTTCCTTTTGGTTTTTCTTTCAAACCACGAAAGGGGTACCCTCAAAATCTCCAAAACAACAACACACCCGTAAACATCTTTGAAACGTGCAGGTCGTCTGAGATCAGAACGCTTGGCCAAGGATTCCAGCAGGTCCTCAAGGAACTTCGAGAACTTTCAGCTCATTTCTCTGCGGAGCTCTCTGTGGGTTTGTCTTGAAATAGGGGACCCCCAAAATGGCTGGGTTTTCCCTGTAAACCAACACCACAGCGGGTTTGCAAAAAGAACACCCCTGTGTTTGCGTCACGTGGCGCGACGCGTCCACTGGGGGCACGACGTTGATGACAGCCATGTTGCAGCCTAATGTGGGGCAAATCTCCGCAAATCCACACAACCCAGGGTCAACATATTAATATACTAGTGCCCCGATGGGCATGGGAAAATTAAGGAGTCTCGCTGCTTTGTGGAGAAATTGCAGTGAATCGCCACATGTCGCTTCCAGATTTACCATAGACTGCTAGATATGTTTGACCGAATCACACACGTCAACCGAGAACCCAGCAGTTCTTCTTTGCCAGGTAGCTGGAGAGCTCTCCTTAGAGGGCGCTGTTGTGCAACTCCGTCAATTAAAGCGAGAAAATTGTGCGAAATGCAAAAGCCTGAACTGCACGCCAGCGGCTGACAATGTAGTCTCCGTCCTCGGCAAAAAAGAGCGGAACAGCCAAATGACACGCAGTGCACTGGTTCCCCATCTCAGCAATCTCAAGCGCGACCATAGGCACCCCAGAATCAATCAGAATCCAACCAATCAAATGGATTCGCAAGCTCTGTGGCTTCGTGTTTAAGCCAACAGCCGCCAACGTCCCTCACGAAAATTGGGTCAGAATCCTACGGACAGATTCCTCTTTTCAACCCCGAGAAAACATCGGGAGCAACTCCGGCGACTTTGCATCGCCTTCTTGAATCTTTGCATCGCCTCCACTACGCTGGCCTCGGGTCGGGCGACAATGGAAGTGGAGACACAAGTTGCCGAATGCATTCCACGCCCAATGAGGTTGCAGGGCGCATTTTCTCTAGGAACTCAGGATTTTCTCCAGGGAAAGCCACTTCGCGGACTTCGGTGATCCTTGTTAGACTCGTTCGTCCCTTCCGTGCGCTCCCAAGCCCGGCATTCGAAGAGTTGAGGCCAGGACCAGAGGAATCATGATGCACTCGTCGAACTTCTTGGCTGCTGCCCAACAGTTCAGAACCTAAGGCATTGGCACAAATGCCCATGAAAGAACCTAAGGCAATGACCCTCTAAATGCATGTGTGTCGTTTTTGAGGAACCCCTTTTTGTGGCTAAACCAAAAAAACATGAAGGAAGGCAATCCCCAACTGGTCATTTGAAGAGAAGCCGCCCCCAAAGAGAACTGCTTGAGAACCCTCCTACTGCCAACCTGGCCTGCTTTGCTTGCCCAGAGCGGGCAGCTTCCGCCATGGCAGACTCCACATCCTGACTCGGAGGAAAATGCCATGGGGGCCACCCTTTCGGTGCATTGAAAGGCAAGCCCCCTTTTCCTGCTCACAAAAGGAAAGTAAGGGAACCAACGAATACTCTTTGGCCGGCGCAAACGGAGCCGGGACAAAATCCCAGAGCACTTGTCAGGATCTCGCAACCTTTGAGCGGAGTCCGCCAGAAATCCACGTGCCCCGTTTCTTCGAAAAGGCTTCGATGTCCCGTGCCCGTTGCCTTTGCGCACGAGAAGCGCTGAGGAGAGCTGGCAAAGGTCTCCTGGCAAAGCGACTGCCCGAGCAAGAGGCCTCGAGATGCGCCCTCGGGCTGCTTGTCGCGCCGTCCTTGCCACCCTTCTTGGACTTCTCGGGACTGGAGTTGCCAAAGAGCAACAAGTGAGCCTGGGTGGCTCGAGAAACGCGGGAGAAAAAGACCAGGGGAACTCAGCGGAGGCCTCGAGGCCTCCCGGCCAACCTAAGGCCCGATCCAACAGAGCCACCAGAAACAAGGTCAGCTCCAGGCGCGCAGACACCAGGAAGGTCCATGCCTGCAAGGAGCCGGATGTGTCTCTGTTTTTAGGATTAGCTTCCCCCACAATGGCGTCGGTGTTTGCTTTGGGCTTCTTCTGTTGAAACCAGAAAAATGGGTTGCCCTCAAAAACAAACTGTCAGGAGCTGCACGTTTGCCTTCCAGCTGAGAGACTGTGGTTCGCGCCTCCCATGGAGTCCGGTGCATGTCATGCCTCTACATTTGGGTTACGGTGAGCCGGTACCCAGCATAACTTCCTGGAAAATCAGATTCCGAGAAGACCACTCGCGAAAGTTGATCCTGCTGTTCAGCCCGGCCACAATATCAGCCCAGTACTTGAGACCCGCCCACCAGTTTGCCACGGCCCACCTGAGCGAAGAGATCCCCCTCTGCAACCATGGACCTCAGATCGCATGGTCTTGGCTCTCAGGCTCCTGCATCTGAATGGACGAACTCAGAAGGCAAACTGAGGGCCACGCGTGTTGCTTGTATATGAACTCGAGTTCATTGTTCAGGTGCAGTGTACGCTGAGAGTCTGCCTGGCCACTTCGGTTCTCCAATTCCCATCAAGCCAACCATGGAAGCCATGCACGTGCTTCCAAGGGCCATCTGTGGCAGCACACCCAGTGCCACTCGCCTCCGCAAGGCGGCGGCAGTGTTGATGCAGTAGTACAGATTAGCCTTGCTGCGACCATAGGCATCGCAACTTTTCATGCCAGGTAGAACTTCCCCAGCCAGAGGTCCAAGAAACCAAGGCTTGTGACCATGGAACACATGACACCCTTCGCCTGAGCAGCTAGGAAAAGGGCATCAAAGCCGAGGTCCAGGCTCTGCGTAAATCTTGCTGCCCACTCAGTGGGTGACAGGCAGCTTTTGAGCCACAAAGTGGTGCACGCGCGCAGAGTTCATTGGGACCCAAACGTAGGGACCCATCAGCCGACGTGCCTTTGAACATCTGCAAATTTACATGGAACCCGAAAAGGGGGGGTCCCTCAAAACAAGGTTCCTCTACAAATGGTGCGGTGTCTTTCTTTTTCATTTGCAGACTCAAGGATCCACCACAATTGATCAGACCGCGCAAAGCGCGAGATGCATGTGAATCACGCCAACAAAGACAAAGAGCAAATCTGTGCAACACAGTGTTTAGCTTGCATTTCCCCTCAGAGTATCCCAGGTTTCGGAAACCCAACATATCAATCGAGCAACCTGCCTGCCAATCATTTCGTTCCTATCAGAACCCAGCTGCCCCAACTGCTCTGAACTTCCGATTCCTCCAGGAAGTTCCGGCTTTGCTGCTCCAGCGCTGACGCCTCCTGGGAAACCTCTCGCATCGCCGGGGGTGTGGGTTTGGGGAGGGGGGGGGTTCTCCGTTTGCTTCCACACTGATCTTCTATGCAGCAGCAACACATCCCCAGCATCACCGGCAGGGCCTGCGAGCCCCTACCGGTGATCTCATGATCAGGTAACACAAGGTTCGCTTGATGAGAATGACTCATGATTTAACTATCAGTGTAACAGGGGGTTTGGGGTTTGGAGTGGGTTTCGGTGTTTTTTTCTGGATTTGGCACCGTCAGCAGGGATGCTACTTTGTACATTTTGGCAATGCGCAAGCTGCAACAGCTAAGCGCAGAAATCCTGGTGCTTCTTGCTACGGCCTTGCAGCACATATTCCGCATGAAAGTTCAAACCACCTGTAAATAGGATAATCCGAGCGCATACGCACGAGGGAGGGTGCGGGTAAGCCTGGGCAGGGAGGAGTCCTTATCTCAGTGACGTCTCCTTTCGATGACAACTTCTGTTGGTACTGCGGCTTGAATGAGCCTAGTAGTTGGCCGCGCCTTTCCATGGTGGTGCTTTCGGTGACAGTTATTGTTTCACCGTTAGTGTGGAGAACATTTGTAGCACACGTGGGCGGGAGTTGTCAAACGAATACTCCCGCCGTTGGGTTGCCAAGTTGTGGACATGGTTTCGATGATGTGGGTGTTGGATATCAAATGATTCAGCTCCGCCTGACGCATTGCATCTGCATGTGCGTCTATCAACCATTGCGCCCGTGGTTTTCCAACTCCCTTAGCGTGCTCAATACGCGGTATCAGTGTTCTTCTATTCAACACAACCTGTTTCATAGGGTCCTGGCCACCTGTGAGTGATTGTCCGAGTCTTCCACATCTTCGCAAAATCCACGTGTATACCGTGCTGCTTTCATTCTATCCACGCTGGTCGGTGGAACTCGAAGCTTTCTGGATACCTGTTTATTTGGAAAGCGGTCAATCTGTTGAACTATACAATATGTTGCTTTGGACAAATGACACGACGACCATAGCATGCTTTGCCAAGTCATAAACCTTCCGCAATACTTTATTGAGTAACACCCAGAGTGTGAACACCAAATCACCGGATCACCGGATCACCGGATCACCCGATCCGGATCCCTACCTCCTCGCGCTCTGCATCAATCTGCTGACGCTCTGTGATCAGCTTGTTGCTCTCCTGCAGCCACCGTGGGAATCGCCCCGTCTTTTGCCACACTCTCCGCCTCAAAACTCCCCTCTGTCCATGGCTGTTCCCTTATCACATTGTCTGAAGTTCCTGACGGGTTTATGGTAAAAGGTTGCAAGCAAACCATAGAATACATGTCGCAAGGAGTCCCATCTTTGCCTTGAAACAGTCTGGATCGAAAATTTGAACACTGATGACATAACCGAAACCCTGTGACAAAATTGTACCCAAAGGTCGCACCGTTTTGACTGTCCCTTACCTTCACGTTCCTGGGTTTGCATGGTGGCTCAAGATCTGCTGCTTCTATTGGGAATATCCTTCGCCTCTTTACATGGCCCTGCCTCCGTCTTCTTGGCGAGCAGCTCCTCCAACTCCTGTGACTAAAAACGCGTCTCCCAGCCCAAGGGACTGTGACCCTTGGGTCAGAGGTGTTTTGGACACCCATTCGCCCCGCCCGAGAGAACTGGCTTAGGGTGGTAGGAATCTGGGAGCAAGGCCATGGTCAGGGCTCTTGCATAAAAAGTGGCCATGGCTCCTGCAACAAGAACACTCAAAGTTACTCTCTCTGACGATGTTTCAAGAGTTGATGAACATGCTTGTTCCTCCCAAGCAATCAAGTCTTTGGACCATGGCACATCGTGCGTAACACTAGTTTGACATGCTTCAAACCTCCAAACCAAGAGTTCCCGACATGTGAGAAATTTCAGCTCCTTCCCCTGGTCCACCTTGCGTGACATCTGGGCAAATTGTCATGGGCATGGGAAATGTGCTGAGTTGTTATGCTTGAGCTAGAAATTTCGTGATTCCCCTTGGCCTTGGATATATAAACCCCTGCTTGATTTTGACCGTCCACGAGGTTGACGAATCCGAGCATGATGTTGACCTTTCTTGAGGAAACCCAGAAAGGTGTCCCACGCAAAAGGGACAAGCCCATGGACCTCACCTTCATCCGCTGCTCCGAGATCATCCGCTGGTCCGTGGCTGAGGAGAAGGCGAACTTCTGGGCCGAACCGTTCGGCTGAACGCATCCAATGCTTCCCCAAAGGATTCACGTGGAACCCAAAACCATCTATTTTTGGGGGGAACCTGGGCTTTTCTGATGCAAACCTCGGAGTAGGATGCAGCCCGAGCAACGCATTAGGTGGTCGATCCAATCCTTGGGGTTCCTCTCTGAGGAACTTCTTTTCAGGTTCCGGACTTTGGCGCAGGCGTCGGAAAGAAAGAAATCCACTTTTTGGCCTCCCAGCTCTGTCATGAGAGTGTCCTCTTAACTTCCATTCGCGTGTATGCCTTGGTGGATTGAACACGTGCCGCAATACCAAAACCTTCTTGGCCACAATTAAGCTCGGCTGCACCGAATCCAGCGTCAAAAAGTCTGGTTGGTGGCATCCTAAATTATTGAACCAGCAATTAACAAAAGAACTCAGCCAGCAAAATACAGTGGAATAGCTATCCGGCACTTGCCTGGTGAAGAAAGTGCAAGCAGGTGCTTGTGACATCTACACTTCTTGCCTCTTACCTTTAACCGCCAGAAATCCAAGAACAAAACATCATACCGGGTACGTTGGAGCATCCTACAGGGGCTCCCACTTTTGGGCGGCTGCGCCAAAGGACAAGCCAACCAGCTCTCGTATCCTGAGTGGCCCCAAGGTGTCTTCAATAAAAGTTCGGACACATCTCTGCCGGAGACGCAGTGAGGCCAAGGCCGTGATGTCTCGGATCTGCCTCGCAGCGACCGTTTTGGGGGCCGAAGCCTTTGTTGGGGCAAGCCTTTGCTGACGCATGGCAAGCGCACCCAAACGGTAGGGCTACAAGAAAGAACCTAAGCCACAGAGGATTCGGAAGAAATGAAGGTCTCAAAACCGCATTCAACCGTTTTTGACGGCGCTGCCCCACAGGCGGTCGTCACTCGTCTACCGCGAGACTCAAAGGCCTTGGCGGTGAGTTTCAAGGGTTTTCTGCAGAGGTCATCTTGATAGCTCGCCTAATGATTTGTTCTATTGACTACAAGCGAACTTCTACCTCAAGCCGCAGCCAGCTTGTTTGTATATTGTTTCTTCGTTGACACGTGAAATCTTGTCGTTTTGCAGGGGAGAGACTGCTTTCTCCCTGACCAGAAGGTCAGTCTTAGAAATCATTGGCAAGTGAAGTTGATACCACTACCCTCCCAAGATCAAAGAGTACAGCACTGGCTGTTTTCCAATAAAAGAGGTGGGGCTAAGTGGTGTCATACCCAAAGCTCTTGCAAAAAGGGGGTTCTCAAAATGAATCATCAAACCCTCTGACAGTGGGGGGAAGCTCTTTGTGGCAAAAAAACGGAGCTCCGATGAGACGAACCCTTTCACGCTTTCGCAGACTATACAGTTCGAAGCGCCAGCTTGGGCCTCAAGGCAGAACGAGGCAGCTAAATCTCCTGAGAAGCGTCTCAAGAGGTGGGACCTGCTCTGGGAGAGGCAAAGCTAACGGATCCCACATGACTGCAAAGACTACCGCTCCCAAAGGCCTACTTGTGAAAAAGAAATTGGGAGTGTTTGATACGGCCCCAGACTGCATGGCAGATGTTCGAATATTTTCGTTCGAAAACCAGCCAAGGGGGTTCCCCGTTTGCAGACACACCGACTGGCACGGTCTAGCTGACCGTCATTCCAGTGTAGAAACTACAGCTCGCTTTGATGGCACGATTACGAGACCGCGAGCTCAAAAAATTGTGCCGGACAGTTTGGCCGCGCAGTTGTCGCGAACAGCCTCTCAGGCTACTTCAGTTCAATGCCTCGGCAAAATGAGGCGTGATTCAGACCATTGCCGCATCAAGCGCATCAAATCTTGACACATCTTGATGCCTCTTGATGCAAGATGGTTGTAAGTCAATGCGCATCACCTGTGTGCGCCTGCGACGTGTTGCAGCTTCACACGGGTGACAGAAAGGTCAATATTTGACCTCGAAAGTTTCGGCATTCTTACTGATTCAGGATAAAGCAGAGAAAGAGCATGGTCGACCGGATCATCCTGGTCGGCTTGCATTAGGTATCTGGAAGTCATGCTTTGGACTCCAACTCGCTACCGGCGCTGCACTTTTTGCTCGTGAAACGCACCTCGCTCTTGGGAAGAGAAGTCACGTCAAACTCGCCATTCAGTGAATTAAGCTGCAAATTCGATCGGGCTCCGCTTCACATGCCGAGGAGGTGCACGGGGTGCGGATTCCCCTCTGGCTCAGAAACCGAGCGCAGCGAGAAGAACAGGGGCCAAGCAGGTGCAGATGTCCCAAATATCCGGAATGACATCCGCTGAAAGAAAACAACATCTCGTCTTTTCAAACACCCTTGAGACCCACCCTGCCCATTGAACACCTCACTTCGCAGGTTCTGGCTCTGCTTGCAGAGTCGAGGTCGGGCGCCTCAGCTTTCCAGTTGATCCCAAAAAGTGGTCAGTCCCTCGCACGCAAAGTGCGCGTAAGTATGTGCTTACATACCTATATCCATATATATACACATACATATCGAATTCAAGATTCAGAAACAAGAGTCCTGAGAATATTGCATCTTCAATCTAAAATCGAAAAGTGGTTGAAAGCGCTTAAAGATTTTCTGGCCAGATGCAGCCAATGTCAAATGCCCACAGGCGGGCACAGTTCAATCCTCAAGTGCAGGGTGCCTGAAAATGGCAAAAGTACCGCAAATACCGTCCAATTCTCCTCGGGCGTGCCAGGAGGGGGGGGGAGGGCGGGGAGTATGTTCAAGTATACTTGACTGCCTGCACGGTGAATAACACACCCCTTCTGACGCTTTTTGTACATCAAGGCCTTGAGCCTATACATCATCACATTGCCCTACAGTGGGAAACAACAGCTAAGCTGATTCACTTCAAAGGTTGACACTTCAGGCAAACAGGTTACAAGTTCACCCATTCTATCATGGCAGCGGAGCAGTGAACACAGTTACAGACCTGGGAATGATCTGGCGGCCTTTCCGGACAACACACAAAGAATGATGGCGGCCCAACAACAAGAACAGCAACAACAGCAGCTGGAAGGATTACACAAGTACAAGATAGCACCACCACGATTCAACACATCTGAAGAATGGACATTCAAGATGACAGCATATCACCTGGAGACAGCAGCGCCTTCACAAGCAGTAGCAGAGCAACAACCTACATGACACACTCAACCAGCACATGTACAGGGTTGGCCTTTCAGGTCAGCACAACCAGTTTTCGCACAGCTAGCACTGCACCAGTTTGCACAGTATATCAAACATCAGTTACACAGAATATGTTGGTTCCACGACTAAATCAGCCGGCATACACATTTTCGGGTAGATACATCCATGGATCGAACCCCTTGCCTGTACGACCTTTTACAACCTCTTCCACATTTGGGAGAGTTTCTGCATGACACTTGAGTTGCATGTCAAACAATACTTTTGCTACATGCTGCAGCCGTTTTACATCTTTGCTGCACAGTTTGAAGGTACATCGGCTACAATGGCCCTCGCACAGGTCAGGGACATTACCGGACCATGGACACAGGCACTTTCTGAGTGCCTTCGAGTTCCTTGACATCCACAATTTGCGATGGTGGAGACGCTGTCGATATGGACACATGGCATCAGTGTGACAAATCAAATTAAAAGTGTCCTTTGTGTGTCTGTTTTACACACGAGGAGTACATGAGGTACATGGCGGCCACAAGGTTCAACAACGACCCACAACGAGTTTCATGGCAACTCGGGGTGCTGTACAACAATTACCTCGTGATGGGTACATGCTCCCATGACGCACTGCTTTAGAACCTGTGTATTGCATGACCACTGCTTTAGAACCTGTGTATTGCATGACCGAAGCTCAAGAATTTGTACATGTTGGCCTTCACACCGGACACCAAGGAGTTGCTCGCATACATCTCGAGGCACGCCAATGTTTTCAACAGCGCTTATACACTGAGGTACAAGTATAAGCTGAACATGGCCGAGAACGAGACATTTCAGGTATGGTCATGTGACGGCCACACTTAGTTGAGTGTCGAGGCCGAGAACTGGAAGGCTGGATACATGTTACAAGATGCAGGTGACAGACTGCGGCGGAAAAATATGGCCTACACAGGAGTTGGCGTCATCAAGCACACGCAGGCTGAACACTAGGCATCCTTCCGCAAACGTGACATCGTTTGAGAACATGATCTTGGCAAGCAGCAACAGCGATGAGATTACACTCCGAGGATACCCAGAACACATCTAGTACGTTCAGAACAAGATGGTACAGCAGGCGGACATCTATTTGAGGACATCTACTTTGAGAAGATCAACAAGTATCGCACTACACGGGACAATACAGCAATCGAGCAGAACAAGAAGAGGGCACAGTCCACATATGTGCATGTTCTTTTTGCACGCCGGATTTTGAGGTACAGATCATCCTCACAATGAGGAACACCGTTGCATAGACACACTGGCCTAGTACATGGTCACACCAGTTTTGCTACATTCCGAGCCACGAAGATGATTTGTACAGCAGAAGCATACAGATGTACGGCAGCGGAAACCCACGGCTGAGCTGATTCACTTCACAGGCTCACACTTCAGGTAGACAGGTTACAAGTTGCTCCCATTTTAACAGAGTACCATGTGTATGTATGTATTTATGTATTTATGTATTTATGTATTTGTGTATTTATGTATTTATGTATTTATGTATTTATGTATTTATGTATGTATGTATGTATGTATGTATGGATGTATGTATGTATGCATGTATGTATGTGTGTATGTATGTATCTATGCGTGTATGCGTGTATGCGTGTATGTATGCATGTATGCATGTATGCATGTATGCATGTATGCATGTATGCATGGATGCATGGATGCATGGATGCATGTATGCATGTATGCATGTATGCATGTATGCATGTATGCATGTATGCATGTATGCATGTATGCATGTATGCATGTATGCATGTATGCATGTATGCATGTATGCATGTATGCATGTACGTATGTACGTATGTACGTATGTACGTATGTACGTATGTACGTATGTACGTATGTACGTATGTACGTACGTATGTACGTATGTATGTATGTATGTATGTATGTATGTATGTATGTATGTATGTATGTATGTATGTATGTATGTATGTATGTATGTATGTATGTAGGTATGTATGTACGTACGTACGTATGTATGTATGTATGTATGTTTTGCTCGAAGAACTCGTCGCAGTCTTAGGTCCAAGCACGCGTTACAGCTCATCACTCATGCACCTCATCTCTTTTTCACCCCAGCATCTTACTTCAGGAGACATCACCACGCACATGCATCTCTTCTGGACACATAAACTACACAAACGACATGAGCCCATCTCATCAGCATTGGCATCTCACTTCCAGGGTCAGAGCTCACGTTTGTTAAATCCCTATGTGCACACGTCATGCTTCACTTCCTACAGAGTAGGTTTTCCTTCCAAGCAAGCGGGAACCCCAAACTGGCGACATGTCTGGCTTGTGCGGCTCTATAGAAACTACTGTTTGCTAGAATCACCCCTTGTTTCTTTTCGGTTGGTGGCTTGGAGGCGCGGGTACCAATGAATTTTGAACAACCTGAGGTTCATATCCCAAGCCCAGCAAACCCAAACCACCAATTGGGAGGTGGCTCTTCTTTCAAAAGACGAGGTGCAGGACACTCCGCTTTACCGATGCACAGCGCCTGGCACAAGAACGGGGGGAACATTCGCAATGCCCAAAGTCCGTATGGGCCTCACTACAATCCTGAGAAAGATCCAGGTCGAAGCCCTTACCCTTACCAATGGCTCCTGTCAAATCATCCTTCAACGGGGCGCCCTGGATCTCCATGTGAAATGCCGCGCATGTAAAGGCTGTGATTCGCTGAAGATCTGGGCCTATGAATTGAACTCCGCACATCAGAAATCCCCTTTCTCATAAAGAATGCTTAAAACCTCGGCGATTTTTACTGGCATGTGCATTGGTGGACAATTTCCCATTCTGATGCTCAGAAGGTCAGCATGCTTTATCTCTACAAGCGCAGGATGTTGCGTGCTTTGCTTCCCTGGTGAACTCCTCTTTCAAATGACAAGATCCAAAGTTCCTGCTCCGTGGTGGACCCAATGCGCTTTTAAAGACAGCTGGGTTTGTTGACGTCCCATGTGCTGGGCCGGAGTTCCACTGATTGCAAACCAGGCGTCAATCCTCCAAAATGCAGACGCGTCAATGTAATTTGGCACGTCCGAAAGGGATTTCAGCTGTCACTTGGTGTCCTGAGCTCACCTTCAAACCATCAGTTGGCCCCTGCCTCCTGGGCCACTTTGGAATTCAATTGAAGCGTGCGAGCCAACAGTTTCCAAAAAAAAAACGGAGTCTGTGGCCGCAAACCTCCGAACCTTGGAGACAGATCCAACTTAGGCTCGGTTCTGTCCGTCTGAAAACTACCAGAAGGACTCCCCAACAAATGAGAACCACCAGAAAGAACCCCCAACAGCAAATCGGAAAACTACCAGGAGCGGAAGCCCCCAAAAAAATACCTGACTCGAACCTGACTCCAGAGCTCCCCTGAGCCACCCCCAAACCTCATTTCAGGGCTGAGACCCCTTAGCTTTCAGCGATTTTGGCAAACAAAAACAAAAATGTCATCAAAATCGGACCCAGCGCCTTGGCAGGTGCTTGGCTTTCCGCAAGACAGCAGGGCTCGCAGCAAACGCCGCGTCCTCGGCGCGGTGCGGCGGCTTCGGGTGAACAGGTGTGCCTGCCAATCGAATCAGCTCCCTGGCTTCCTCTTGCTGACCTTGCAAGAAAAGTTCAAAAGGAGAGTCTGCAGTTTGGAGACACACCAGTTTGGTTTCAACAACTGCTTCAACCCACATCAACGCCACCAATAATTGAGGGCATGCTGTACGGTCACATTGCTTGCAGCTAAGCTTCTTTCTTCTCTCCTTGTGCTATAAGTGCTTCCTCAAGCTCAGACTCAAAGCTAGCACAAACGAGTGTCTTTCTTAAGGAACCTTTGGGTTAGTTTTAAGGGGAAACCAGGAAAACCATCATTTTGGGAGTCTCCTAAAAACACACGCACCCAGACAGGGAAACATGCAACTCAACGCCTCAAGCATGCCCTCTGCGTAGGCCGCAAAGCATGTCTGCAGCCAAGCCACACCGTTCCTTGCGGGGGTGCGTGCCGCATGTGCAAATCTACGTCTACGCTCCAGCCTCATTTACATGATGGCATGTATCTCCCGTCGGCTGCAAACAGGATCTCTCCTAGTGGCATTCTGGGTTTCAGCCTTCTTTGCAAAAAAAGCCTCTTAGTTTGAGGCTGTACGTGGTTTGGGAGCGAGTCTGAGCGCTGTCGCAGAACCACACTGCTTGGCTTGTCCCGCCTCTTCAGCATGCAGTTGCTGTTGCTGCGCTTGATCGCGGGGCCGGTGATCCAGGAGCGGGCCAATGGCTCCTGACAAGACCGGCAACGACTGTGGAGAAGGAATCCTGGGTCTCACCAACCTCACCAAAGGCGTACATACTGTCCATATGTGTGTTCCTGATCGGCGAGTCCCAACAGGGGCTATGTGGTCCAGTGGTTTGTCTGCGCTTGAGCCATCTACGCAACCTTTCGGACCTGATCAGAGGCCTGCCCCGGGGAGGCTTCCCTTTCCAAGGCCGTCGGGGTCGAAGGGATTCGACGTGGGTAATCATGTCGACAGGTTGCAATCTAGACGCATGTGCCATGCACCTAAACAATCGCCTACGCGAGAATCGCAGCTCTCAGCGCTCCTGGGGGGGTAGTACGTCGTAGACCTGTCAAATGGAGGCGGCTGCAGAACCAAAGGAGCCAAAGTGGAAAAAGCTGACTCTCACAGCTGCATGCAGCTGACTCATCAACCACTGTTCAAAAATTGTCTGCCATTCTTCCAGTTGGACTCCCTGATAAACGGCTGGTTATCAAACGCTAACACCACGGAAGTACTGTCATGCATTGTGTGACACAAACAGTAGCCAAACTGCTCTCACCGCATTTGTGAATCCGAAAAGTAGCCCAGCATTCTACCGAGAGATGTGAACAATTAGCGTTAAAACTACGATATGCCAGTGTGTTGCTCGCATGTGCCACAATGAAAGCTCCTTGAATGGGAGAGGATAGTCACCGTGCTTCCAACACATGCCCACTCTCCATGCCTGTGTCAGTTGAACGACAAGTCGCTCGTGGCTGGCCCGGTTCAAGTGCCAGCGGATGTTCGTTCACCTGGAGCCTGTTGGCCCCTTCCCCCTTGGATTCTGACTGGCTCAAAAATGTGTGTAGAACACCCGCCATACTTTGAACCCCTCAGCTTGCGGGCACGAAATCCCAATAAAACCGGAGAGTCGTCAATTTGCAGAGTTGCTCGAAAACCTCGCCGGAGTATTCCCCCCTCGGCCTGGATTGCCCTGAGGCCTTCCTCTCGCATCCACCCCTCCCCCCCCCCCCCCCGGCCGGAGCCCAAGGCCCCAAGCCCGCCTGCCAGGCAGACATCTTGGCCCAGGTGCAGGAGACCATTACGGAGCGCACCAGCTTCAGCCTCCAGCGCTTCAGCCCCCCCCTCTTCCCGAAAGAAAAACGGCAATGCGATCTGCAAACGGATGCGCCCAAATGCGATGTTCAATCAGGTACCCAATCCAATAAAAGGCAAAGCAAGAGAATTGCAGTTCTCTGATTTTGTCAAATGGCTGCTCCTTTGTTGCTATCTTGGGTCGAACGAGGCGGAGGAAAGAAAAGTAAACAAGTGATGGGGAAACCGCACCAACTTGTTGTTTAACCCTCTAGCTTTGATGAACAACTTTAACCCGAGTTTGTTCCTATCCTGTTATGATGAGGTTGAAACGCTTTCAAAAAAAAAAGCTAGATAAACAAAACAAACTGGGGCGGCTGTTTCATCCAGGGTCCTATGCCTACAGCAAGTACCACTTATGGGGTTCAACCGGTTCAAACGGCGTCACGCAGCTGCAATATTTGATCCTTCAGAAAGGGGATGAGGACCCTCAGTCCCTCTGTTCAGCTCGCAGAATGAGTGCCCTAGGTACATGCAAAGTCATCAATGGGCCTTGGACCAAAACGCGGATGGGCCTCAGCAATGGAAGCGGACAGGTAAATGAGGATGGCCTTCTGGGACCCCCCCAAAATGCTGGTTGCCCTTTTGGTTCCCTTTAAAACCACCAAAAAAGGGCCCCAACTCCCCCTAAGGGGACACCCGAATCATCCCCACCAAAGATCTCTGACACGGTGCAGCCGAGCTCTGTGGAAACCACCTGCAATTTCCCGCCTTGAGTGTGGCATGGGCGTAATGCACACCAAACGCCTGCGATGGCAGGCGAAGGGGGAAGCATGACGACCTCGGACCAGCCTTGGAAAGAATCGAATCCGATGACTTGACTCAGCTTGCCCCGAATCGGTGGTTTGGTTTGGTGAGCTTGGGGGGCAACCCCGTTCCTGGAATTCCTGCAAGCCAGGGGTTCAAACCTCCCTCCCACCGATCCACAGGGGTTACCTGATTGATGTATGCCTTTATTCCAAGGTCTAGAGCAGGCCCCTCGCTAGGATGCGTGTATGGGAAATGAGAATTATCCCATTGAGTCTGGTCTGATGTTCTTTGCTTCCCGCTGGAGTCCCACAGCTGTTCGCTGCAAAGGGCTCCCTTTGTCATGGCTGACTTTGACCTGCGTTGATAGGAAACAAGAGCCCTTTGCACACACGTCGTCAACAGTTCCGCCTGACTCATACAAAGCGATGCTTGATGGTATGCCTTGATGTTGCTATTGATGTGTGTGAGTGTGTTGTTCATCGGTTCTTGACGTGTTGCCCAGCCATGTGTCTTGTTTGTGCCACGTCCGTGCGATCACCTTCCGTTCGGTATGCTCAAAACACCACCGGCGCTGCTGAACAAATGGCCGACCGAGCCAGCCTAAAGGAAGGGCAGCGGAGGAGGCAATTCAGGGTGCGGCTCTGGACCCCCATGTCCATGCAGAGGTTCGTGAGCACTGCCACCTTATGGCACCGGAAAAGACACCGGTAAAGAGAATTACTCCAGGCCTAGGCATCGGGGTTTAAGGAACCACCCAAAAGCACCCAACAATATATCGGCCGGCCACTTGCCATTTGGCAAGGTGGACATAGAGAAGTGTAGCGATGTTTTGACAGGCTAGCTCAACCGCGCTATATCCATGTTGACACGGTGGGAACTCGTAGAGTAAAGAGCTCCCACAAAGGAATTGCACGCAGTGATTCCAAATCGAAGGGGCCTTTGTCCATCCCCTGCACACTACAGCCGATTGCATTAAACCACAAATAGGAGTCCCCTCCAACAAA